GCCCTACATATATAGGGATGTCAGTGAGGCGGATCAAGTAGGAGATCCGCCACCATGGGTCTCGGTTTGGTGGGTGGTGGGACTACCCGTAAAATTCTATCAAAATGATGATTAATTATCGATGTCACAATATGTCATGATATAATCAACATTTCACAATACTTATCACCCAACGCCAACAATTCAAAGATTAGATGATTTGAACCCGTAACTTTATGCTAGCTCTTGATTTCACGTTAATCAGTTAAAGTACTAATTCAACCAAAAACTTAAGCTCATAGCTGAGTTCCAAAATTAGTTTTTATACTCTATCACATACGAAGTACATATTCTAAAAGCTCGATATAACATTATAATTCAACTCTCTTTAAATCCAAAGTTGTATCCCTTGTGATGGGGATAAGCAATTAGTGAAGATTTCAACATGCTCTTAAAATATTAACTAAGGACTGTATAATACAACAGGACTCCTAACAATATGATTTCCATCAGACAAAACCAGTGATGCAGAAATGTGAGAGCCACTTGATAATCCCTTACCAATAACAGTTACATTGAAGGACTTCTTTTCATTCAATGATGTGAATGAAACAGAACTCGGATCCACCGTGACCTTTATTTTCTCCGCTGATTCGACTTTTGCTGTGTAGGTGGAATTAGCAACTCCAACATTAGTAACTGTTCTATAGACTTGACATTAATAGGTTTATCAGCATCAACCGCTGCAGAAATGGTAGGATAGTTAACATCCTTTGGTGACAAAATCTTTTTCGGGCAGGAAAAACCCTTTTTGCCTGAAATTTTAGTAATATCATCTTCTGTGTAACCTAACTTGCAGAGAAATTGAATGTAATCATCTTCAGTTGCTTCATAAACAACTCATAGGACGCGCTGCAAATGAATGAATAAGATTATGTCTAGTAGATATATCATATATGATACAGAGAAGAGAAGAACTGAAGAAGACTCAAGGCGTAACAAAGCCTTGATGCGCTTAGATAGATACCTGTAGTCATCAAAGCAGATTTAATAGCTGAAGGAGACCAGTCAGGATGAATTGATTTCACATACACAGCTGCACCGGCTACATGAGGACAAGACATGGATGTTCCAGATAATATTGAATAATTAACTGATCTTTTATCATTATAATTACGAGTTAATTCAGCATCAGGTGAAAACGCAGCCAAAACTTCTACTCCTGGTGCCGTGATATCAGGCTGCAGACTAACATATTAAAGAAAAAAGATAGAAGAGAGACTTGCAGAAAATAAATTTGAAGAAGACTGAATGATGATAACCTTGAGAATATCTGATGCAATTTTATTAGGCCCTCGAGATGAAAACGAAACAACAACAGGAGCAGAAGTGTCATTAAAGGATTCACTCTTTAGGATGTTTGCCTTTGGATCTCTGCCAAAACTCTATGAATGTGAGTGCAAATTTGACTAATTATTGTATACTACTATCTGACAAAGAAGTCTATTATCATACTTTGTGGAATTAAGGTAGGATATTAGTGCTTCAAATTCAGGGGATTTCAGCTCGACTGCAGCCATAGGTAAAATTCGAGAGAAATCTTCAACAGAAGCGCGTGCCACTACCCCAAGGGCACCAGCTCTCAAACCTTCATCAATTCCAGATCCATATGTACTGTCACAAACTACTATCTTCCCCTTCACTAACTTTTCATCTAAGCTGTTCGATAAACATAACCTACACACAAGAAGATTACCGATAATTTAAGACAAATTATAGTCATTATACTGATCTACAGAACTTAAAAAGTAGTACTTAAAGGAAGCAATAAAGATTACCAAGCCTGAAGCTCCTCACACGAACTTGATGCTTGTTTCCCATAAACCAAAGGGAACTTGTCTCCCTTTAATGTGAAGGTGTTGATAGAATTACCCTACATTTCAGCCATTTCAAAATTATCATTACATGTTTTTGTTAGAACTTTAAATCTTCAAATAAAATTATATACTATGATTAAAAAAACTTACAACTAAAGTTTTTCCATTTCCAAGGACAACTTTATCAAGGATTCATCGATCCATATCACTAGCTGCCACACTGAATAACCAGGGTGCAACACTTGCTACAGTACTACTCGCATTTCCCTCATTTCCAGCAGACTGCACTGTTAGTATTCCCTTCTGCATCGCGTGAAAAGCACCTAACGCAATACTGTCTGAAAAAATATCAGCTGCAGGTGATCCTCCTATGGAAATTGTAATTATGTCAACCCCATCAACAATGGCTTCATCAAAAGCTGTAAGAATATCTGATTCCGAACATTGCAAGCCCTCGCAAACTTTGTATGCAGCTATCCTAGCAGATGGTATCGCTCCTCTAGCAGACCCTTCTGCCAGTCCATAAAAACTTGCAGGATGTACGATCCTACCAGCTGCTGTCGAAGCAGTATGGGTTCCATGACCAACTTTATCCCTCGCAGAATCAAAACTTGTCCTTGCTCCAATAAGCTTGCTGCAGGATCAAAATTTCCAAAGCATTTAAACTATTGAGCAAAGTCAATTCAAGTGCTTACAGCAATTAATAAAAACATATTTAAATATAATGTAATCTTTGGAGAAAAAAATTGTTATGATGAACTTAACATTGAAAGTTCATTACAAGTAGAAGAAAAAAGGGTTAACCTCAATAAACAGTTCAACATAAACAAGGTTCCGCAGTACATATCATAGACTAATTAAGACTAGTAGAAATTCAAGGCACACACAAATGCTATCTCTTCAACTTCTAAAATTAGTTTTTAGTGATAAATATGTTTTAATTGATAGAATGCAGTTTCAATAAGTGAAAATCATTTTTTGATTAGGCCTTAATCAAATGAGATAGCTACATAGATTTCAGCATATTTTCATAACAATTGCATGCAAACTAAGATTAGAAATCAGGATAGGAAAATGGTAGATAAGAATATTTTACTTGTTGCAAGTGAAATTTTTCCCACCTTTACAAACACCTTTCCATTTCTTCGGTGGAGGGCCAAAGCCATCATCCTTAAAACTCGGTGATTCAGGCCATATCCCGGAGTCAATGACACCAAGTATCAGATTACTCTCAGAATGTGTGTTTTTAGGCACCACTGTCTCAGGCAATCCTAAGAAATCCCAAGACCTCGTTGTTTGAAGTTCAAGTGTTCTACTAGGAAACACGGATACCACTTCCTTCATTCCTGTCCAAAAAACAATTCATTTATCTTAACGGATCCTAAATAATTTATTTCATGTTAAATATAAATATATAATGTTTACATCGTCAATACTTACCCTTGAGATTTTCACTTTCTTTCTCAGTCACCCTCGCTGCAAAACCATTGAAACTCTTCCCGTAACTTCTAACCAAAGACTCCTTTGCCGTACTTTGGAACATAATAAAATTCAAAGTCATAAAAAAAACTTGTCAATCGTCATTATAAAATTAGGCTGCCTAGGCCAATTAGTACATGCATATAATTAGGCTGCTATCGAATTTGGTGTTAAGGTTAATAGACTCTCACCTGTTCTCTAAAACTTGTTGGAGGATACCAAGATGGTACTCAGATGTAACAGAGTATTTCTCTGAAGTAGAGCCCGTGTATATAATATAAACCTACACCAAAAAAGTCGCGCTTAATCACCAATTTGAGTGTACAATAGCATGATATATTGATATATATAATGATATGACATAAGTCACGTAACTAGATATTTTAGTAGAAAAAAAAAACCTATAACTTGCCTTTCGATCATCTTTAGCAATTAGAGATGATGTACCCACAACTAACAGGCCGCGTATGAGGATGAATAAGAGCAGTGGAGAATCCATGAATCTGGCCATTGAGAAATTGTGAATGATAGTAATTTGGTGATAAATTGAGGAGGAGTCTCATTGTTATAGTTGAAAGAGTAGAAGAAATAAAAATAATTGTTGGAATTAATTCAATAATGATGCAAGAAAGGAAATTCATTAAGGATTTGATTGCTTTCTTTTTTTTGCACCAGATATTCAGCTGCAAACATTTTGATTTGATCGATTTATGTCAATCACTTGATTTTTATTTTTAAACAGGTAGACAATGTTATGATAAAAGTCAACTCAAATGTGAAGATCTCCTATGCATGCTTGATTAAATTGGTAATGTTCTCTTGCAATATGAAACTAGTATATGGGGCTCAAACTATGCCCCATAGACAATTACATGGAATTTACAATTACACGTTTAATTTATAACTCACACTTCTCTTAATATAATCTTATTTATCATATTCTACCTTTTGATATTTGATTTGTGTTTAGTGTTAGCTAAACACCATTTAAACAATAAACTAGTGTGTGGTCTGGCCGTTTCACCGGATTGTTACTTTAATAAAACCTTGTTATTATATGTATTTAACCTTTTTAGTATTTTTTCTTTCTTTTTCTTTATTAGTCCTTGTGATTTGCAAGTGAGGTCTTTGAATCTCCTTAGCCTTATCTAAAAACGTCAATGTGCCACGTAAGTAGTCCTTTTTTATTGCGCCACGTCACCTTTCCAACATCTCATAACGCCACATCATCAATCAAACAATCTTAACACGTCACCCAAGAAATCAATATTATTTCGTATAATACGCCACATCACCCAAGCAACCAACATTAAATTCGAACCATCAACCTCTTATAACAAAGATGACTATTTAACCATTTAAGTCAATTATCAACTACTCTGCATGTTATTAATATGTAAAAAAATATATATATATAAATGCAAACCATAAGGTTTAATTTTTTTTCTTAAAAAAAATACTAAAAAAATAACTCATTTTAGTTTGACAATGATAATTTTAGTTTTAAAAAGTCTTTTAAAAAATTTATTGATTGCACTTCTACAACAATAGCAACTTGGACAACACCCGAGCTACTCACTAAGTTAATGCTTAAAGAGAGGATGGAAATATGGAATTAGTAAGCCTTTTATTTTAAAAAAAAATTATTTACCTTCATCTTTTTTTTTTTTTTTTTGAAAGATATTTACCTTTATCTTTTACTGAGGCTTAAATTAAGATTTGAAAAAATAAAATTAAAAAAAAATGAAAATGGCGTTTTTGGAATAAATGAGAATAGAAAGGGTAAATTTTGACCTAAAAAGCAAAAAAATAATGAAAATATTTCCGTCGAATGAGATCTTAGCATTACAGCCAAAACCACCCTTTCTTCTCCTTCTTCTTCCCCTTTTCCCCTCCATTTCCTCTGCAACTAGAGAGAGAAACCCAATTATTTTTTTATTTTAGAGAGAGAAAATCAACCCTCCATTATCATTAATCTAATGTTTTCATTATTACCTACTCTCTTAATCCCTGCTTTTCTTTGCAATTAACAAACACCCCCACCATCCCACCCAAAAGGGTAATTTTAATTAAAATTCAAATTCAACACAATTTTTTTTTATGTATTTATATTTTTTTCAAAAAAAAATCCACATTGCTAACACCATAAGCACCTTCAAACTTGAGCAATTTGCATAAAAAATTACACCCATTCCCCTTTCTTTTTCTGGGAAACCTAGAGTTTTGATTTTGAGGGTGTTTATTTGGTGGGTTTTTTTGTGAAACGTTTCGAAACGGAGAATAGAGAGAAAGATCAATGGAACCGGCTGTATTGGACGATATAATAAACAGGCTATTGGATTTTCGAAACGCGAGGCCAGGTGCTGCGAGACAGGTTCAGCTTTCTGAGTCAGAGATCCGCCTACTTTGCACCGCTGCTAAGGAAATCTTCTTGCAACAACCTAACCTTTTGGAGCTTGAAGCCCCCATCAAGATCTGCGGTATATTAATTTTTATCTTTTTTACCGTTGATTTTTTACCCCTTTTTTCTGCTTTTCACAATTTGTAAAAATGAGTAATATTTTTTGGTGGGTGTTTGAATTTTGTGTGTTTGTATTGTGTTTTGAATGATATATTGAATGTTTGTGTTTTTGGATGGATTTTCATGGTGGGGTGGGGTGGGGTGGGGGATGTGGGATAATTGAATAAAAAGGTGTGAGTTTTGATGATTTTGTTTGTTTTGAGGGTTGTTGGATTTGTTTTGAGCTGATTGTTATTGGATTATAAGTGTGTTATGATTGATGGGATTTGTTAGAGCTAATGTTATTATGTGATGATGATTAGGAGGATGTTGCATTTCTTTTTTTTAAATTTTGGAGGATGGGGAGGGTGATCATATGAATGAATTATGATGTATAGATTGTAAGTCATAACTTTGTGATTGTGGCAATAATCTTGAATTTTGGCTTTGACAAAAAAGCGGGAGCGAAATTATTCATGTTAGTTGGTGGATAGTTCACTTGTATGTCTAGCAAAATAGCTATTGATTACCTCGGCTATTCATGTATTATAAGATTGGCAGGAATGTCTGTCTAATTTCAAGTTTGCGCATTAGGCATCTTGCTTTAAGTGCTTCAGGGAAGCTGTTTATGTGATCTTTTCATGATGATGTGGGTATTTGTAATGGATTTCAGACAACCTTAAATTTGTATTATAATGAAATTGCTGGTTCAAATTGGAAAAACCTTTTTGCATAAGCTGGAGAAACAGTATGATATCATACTTCCCAAGTATATGTAAAATTGGAAAACCTTTTGAATTTGTAACGGGGATTTGTGTCTAGCTATAAGAGCTTATGGAGTGATGATTATGTGGTCTTTTGATGATAATTGGGTATGTATGTGTTATGGAATTTGGACAATTTTAATCTTGTAATAAAAGGAAATGAATTGAAATGGTGGTACAAATTGGAAAACCTTTCTGCCAAAGCAGGAGTAATAATAATGATATCATACTTCCGATGTTTATAAGGCCTAAATCCTATTTCTCTTTTCCCCATAATAGCACTTATTGCAAATTTTGAGAAGTACTTGTATTATAGATTTATAGTAAATTCAAATTTCATTATATTAATGAATTAAATTATTTATATTTCATAAAAAGTAAACGGCTCCTTAATCTGTTCAATCCAATTTAAAATCCCTTTTTTTTAAGTTATTGAAATGGAGAATTCTATATCCAGTTGAAGATGTATTTTTAATTTTGAAGTCTTTATAATGGTACTGGTTATCGCTGTAAGTAGTTTATAGCCTTGTATATGATTCTCTGTGAAGTCTTTTAATTGTATGATTGATTTCACAATCAATTACCCTCTGTTTCTGCTAGTACTGTACCTCTTAGTATAGTGCCAGCAGCTTCTTATTACCTTGAAGAAGCCTGAATATTCTGTATTTTTCTTCTCTACTGTGTACTGCGCTGCTTGAGATGGTTAATGCTTAATAGTCTTTATATTTGACAGCTTTCTTTTGTATTTTCTTTGATTGCAGGTGATATCCATGGGCAATATGGTGACCTCTTGAGACTTTTTGAATACGGTGGTTTTCCTCCCGAAGCCAACTACTTGTTTCTAGGGGACTATGTTGACCGGGGAAAGCAGAGTTTAGAAACAATTTGCCTTTTGCTTTCTTACAAAATTAAATATCCAGAAAATTTCTTCCTTTTACGGGGGAACCATGAATGCGCATCCATTAACAGGATCTATGGATTTTATGATGAATGTAAACGCCGCTTTAATGTTAGACTTTGGAAGACATTTACTGATTGTTTTAATTGTCTCCCTGTTGCTGCTGTTATAGATGACAAAATTTTGTGCATGCATGGTGGTCTCTCACCTGATTTGACTAACGTGGATCAAATTAAGAGTTTATCTCGTCCGACTGATGTACCTGAATCTGGTTTACTATGCGATTTATTGTGGTCAGACCCTTCTAGAGAGGTTAAAGGTTGGGGAATGAATGATCGGGGAGTCTCTTACACATTTGGTGCCGATAAAGTGGCCGAATTCTTAATGAAGAATGACATGGACCTAATTTGTCGTGCACATCAGGTTATAAATGTTTCCATTGCTGTATTTGTGTTCTTCCTCTTTACCCTTTTAGCTTATCTTTATGATTTTGTCCAGGTTGTGGAAGATGGATATGAATTTTTTGCTGATAGACAGCTTGTTACGATTTTCTCTGCTCCCAATTATTGTGGTGAATTTGATAATGCTGGTGCAATGATGAGTGTTGATGAGAGCTTGATGTGCTCGTTTCAAATCTTGAAGCCGTCAGAGAGAAGAAGATTTCTTTGATCAAGGATTTGATGATGTAGTCATCATTCTTTGCTCAGGTTGGATGTCTAATTCTTTGGTTGTCTAATGCTATTTATTGAGCTCTTTGTTTTTGTTTTTTCTCTTTTCTTTATGAAGCTTTGTTCAATCCTCATGGCTTTATTTTACCCTATTGTATTATAGCTGCTCAAACATTGAAATAACTTCTCAGTCCTGTACTTATGTATCTGAAAGTAGGATCTCACAACTTCTATGGTACATGGCTGTAGTGTACAGCAATTTAGTCAAGGATCGGTTTCGCCCCCCCCCCCCCCCCCCCTTTTTTTGGTTATAAACCCTCTTATTCTTTGTACAATGCATCTCGAACTAAAATAATAGCGTCTCTCTGTCTTCATCAAAGGCCAGCTGTTAACATTTCATGAAATACATTATGATGAGAAAGCTCAAGAGCAACCATTTGCCCTCGTCACATTAAAATAACAAATAAAAATAAAAACACTCTTTGTGCTTACTTTATGGCTCTCTGCAGATTGTAATTTTGCCAAATGATGGACCTCTGCCTATTGTAATTTTGCCAAAAAAAAAAAAAAAAAAGCTGTCTTTGGCTCATTGCTCTTACTTGCAAAAGGAGCATATTATGCATATACTTGCTGTTAACATTTGCCCCCCTTTTTGTGCTGCCATCTTTCACGAGGGTAGACATTATGATCAATTATTTCATACTTTTGGGCTTTTGCCACTCTTCCTTTTACACAGAAACAACTGCAGCAGTTTAAAGTGTACAGGTTATATTATTATGTAAAGTACCTTCTTATATTATTATGTAAAGTACCTTCTTTTACTTGTCTTGTCAATGTAAATTTTGATTGGAATTGAAAGTGATGCTTGGTTAACTGAATCATCAAAATTATCAGCATGATATATGATTTTTGTTGCACTTATGAATAATAAACCCTTATCAAGGTAAAAGGTCAACGGTGACAAAATGCCATTTATATCTGTTCATTCGTGCTCTCAGCCACTGGCTTCAGAAGAACTGTTTTAATTCTCTATTAGGGGGGGAAAAAGCCTACTGTTTAACTCTTATCTTTAATTTATACCTTCTGATATCAGTTTAATCGTTTTCTCATTGCATAAATTATGGAAGTTTGTTAGAAGTAAATCTTTCAAGCTGTGTTAAACAAAGGCTTGATGTTGGATTTTTATTTACGTGTCAGATGCTTGGTAGAATTGAGTGGATATTGATACTTGTGATTTGATTTTCAAAATGCAGTTAATTATACAGCCATACAGGTAGTTGGGATTTTAGGTGGAACATAACTGGTAACATGGTATGTCAAAATGCCTGCAGGAAATCATTTTTTTGGAAGTGGAGATTTGAATTGCTTTCGTGCTTTAGGTTTGGAACTTCATGAATCTCTGATTCACCGTTCATTTTCTTTTGTGATCTTGTTCTTCCTCTTGGGGAAAGTTGCAAGAATAAATGGTCAGGGTATGGGATTTCAAGCTACCAATTGAATCTGCATCTCCAAGGATGATGAGGTTCTCTTAGTTACTTGGTGAATTTAGTGACTTCATATGCGAAGTTTGCTTTATAATCGAAGCAATAGTTATTTGTATGAATGTGGAATTGTAAACTTAGTACTTAATTCTACTGGTAACATTTGCATATCTAGAATCTAGAGTTCTTGACATGGGATAATTGGATCATTTAGGTACTATTGGTAACTTGCACATCTAGAATTTTGACAGCCCTTTGACATCATTAACTTAGGTAATTGTCGAGCTTTTGTAGTAGTTTATTGTGCAGGCCATGCCCCATGTGAATGTCCTTGGTGATGAAAAAAACTGATTAGGATTTAGGAATACTTGGGGCATGATTTATTTAAGTTACATACAAATTTGTTATTCACCTCAATGTATGCAATGTCTTGACATTTTTGGTTGGGTGAATGTTTCCGCTGATGTTACCATTCACTTAGCCTAGATATTCGACTTTTGCTATGGTAATTGCTTTGAAGGTAGCTGATGACTTCAAACACTTAACTAGGGTTCTGTTCATTTGTTTGCAGATACCTTTTATTCGTGCAGTTTTTATTTCGGAAGACTAATTAAGTTTAGGTCTCACAGTTGTTGTCTTCAAGGCTGAGAGATGGTATCGTCCTGCTTAATCGTTGAAGACAAGAATTTTTAATGTACTTCGAAAGTATTGTGATTGAACATGGAATTTCGAAGCAACAGACAGATTAGTGGGCTGTCAGAATTGTCCCTATTTCTGTATTTTCTATATTTTTTTTCCTTAATTTTTTGTATTTTATTTTAATTTTTGGGGGGAAAGGAATTCTCATTAGAAAATCATGGTGCTGGTGTATATACATTTGGTCTTGTAAATGACCATTCACTCTGTACATTGTTGACACCAATCTTTGTTTGAACCATTGTACTGATCTTACTATCTGCTAGTTATGTTTCAAGTAGTCTAGTTACTATTTGAAGGTTTCATCTTGCATTTCTAAATTCAATCTCCTGGGCTTTTTTTTCGCGGCAAGACTTGTTTGTGTATTGTTGGAGACAAAAAAAGAAATATTGCAGATTGAAGATACCTAGATTTGAGACCTTAATGTCAATAATAAATCTATTGAACCTCATCTGTTCGAGCCTTGAAACAAGGTTGCCTTTACCATTGATGATAATGATGGTGGTTCTTCAAAATATACAAAATACAAGAAATAAATTGTGGCACAAGGTCATGGTTGTACAGGTTGTGTTTTTGGTTCTTAAAAAACCCTTGTTTGACCCAGTTTTTATTTCTTAAATTGAGAAATAGTTTTAGAAACTACGCCAAACAACTCCTTAACACTATACAAATGTAAAATGGCTTGTATAAATTCTAATACATTACATATCCCAGTCGTTAAATGTAAACATTAGTATTGAATACTTATTACTCCATATCATAACAATGTTGATCACATTAAACATGTAATCAATGGACATTTGAATTGTAGAAATAATTGTATCAACCCATAGGAAATATATAATCGCATATGCTTGAAAATAATAAATAACTACACTTCATTAAGGATAAGACGATAGGTGTTGGCTCAAAACGATTAGCTATATTCCCATTAAAATGGCCAAAAGCCTATTTTCGTTGCGTTTTTAGGTTGTATTTTGCAAAAATATTTATTTTTTACAGTAACCAGATATTGTTACATAATCCAACTTCTTCTCTCTATTTTCCTTTTAAAAAAATAAATAAAATCTGCTCTCTAAGTCTCTATTAATTAAAAAAAAATTAAAACAAAAAAATCGAAAATTTTAACCTCTCTAAATTCTCTACATCTTTTCTCTCTCCTCACTTTCCCTCTGCAATTTCTCGCCGGAAAAATCAGCAGCAATGTTTTTCCACATCATACTCGAGAGAAATATGCAGCTTCACCCCCGCCACTTCGGCGCGCGCCTTCGCGATAAACTCGTCTCCAAGCTTATGAAAGACGTCGAGGGTACTTGCAGGTTTTTTTATTTCTCTAAATCAAATCCCTAATTTTTTCAATTCAACGCTTATCTATCGAATTACTCGCTTAGATTGAAATTAATTGAATTGGGTTTTCTGGGTTTCTTCCAATTTTCGATTTTTAACAGTGGGCGTCATGGATTTGTGGTGGCAATCATGGGAATTGAGCATGTTGGCAAGGGTTTGATAAGGGATGGAACTGGGTTTGTTACTTTCCCTGTTAAGTATAAATGTGTTGTATTTCGTCCTTTTAAGGGTGAGATTCTTGAGGCTGTTGTTACTATGGTTAATAAGGTATTAAACCCATCTAAAACCCTTTGTTATTTAAATTTTTGTTGATTGATTTTACTAATAAAGCGATTTTTGTGATTGGTGTTGAAAATTTGCAGATGGGTTTCTTTGCCGAGGCTGGTCCTGTTCAGGTTTTTGTGTCTAATCATGTGAGTTTTCTTTGAGTTTGTAGCTCTCATCAGGGTAAAATTTTGATTTATCTAGAAAAATATCTTCTGTATCCAATGCCAAGTCTATGAAAGAACTTGTGACTGAGAAAAATGGCCTGCAGTAGTGACTTAGCTTTGGTTCAATAATTTTGCTTGTGCTTTATCTTTGTCAACAGAATTTGCTTTCTAAGGTTGATTATTTGTATTTGGCGGAGTAATCGGGCCTTTTTCTATTCCGTATCATAACTTGGTTGTTCTGATAATTTCCATTATGATCTTCAATTGTTGTTATTGCCTTCCATTTTTTTGGACATTTGTGTGCTTTGTCGTATATGAGCTTCATTGTAGTACTGGCTACAGGCCTACAGTATCATTTGTTTAGGCTCGAAATACTTTGTTGTCTTGGTCATAGATAATGCCGTAGGGTTATAAGTTATCGAACCTGGTTCTTCTTTAGAAGTTTGTGGATACTGTTTGTATCACTTGGTGGCTACTTTAGCTAATCCTGTCCCCTATCAAAAGTCATTGTGAATTTCAAAATGTTATGTCCCCTCAAATACCCCTTAAGGACTCTAGAAACTTTAGACAGAGTATATAAGTGTACTAATATTCAAATAGGAGAACAAAAAAAATTTAAACACTTAGAGTGTGTTTGGATTGAAGGAAGTGGAGGGAAAGGAAGGGAAGGGAAGGGAAATGGAGGGAGGGAGTATGTTTCATGTGGATAAAAAATTAGGGATGGAGGGGATTGCCCAATTGGTGGGGAGAGAAATGGAGGGATTAAATTCTAAGAAAGTGATCTCTCCAACAATCAGATATTTAGAAGGAGAACTCATCATTCTTCCTTCCCTTTCCTTTCCCTTCCCTCCCCTTCACCTCCCTCCCCTTCTTTTCCTTCCCTTAATATTACCCAAACAAACTGTTAAGAAACCAGCCATTTTGGACTTAAATCATCTACGATGATCATTTATCCACAGGGACTGGACCATATCCTCTACAATTCCGGAATGGATGTGCAGTTGATGCATATAGGCTGTGACGTGTGTCTTTTATTTATGTTGAATGACCAATAGTTCTGTCAATCCTCCTGCATCCCGAAATTACTTCTTAAATTAAACTAATATTAAAACCTGTGGCAGCCTTTAATAGACACTGTCAAGGTGAAACTTTATTGAGTTTCTTTCTGTATTTTGTGAGCAGATATTCATTGGTGAAGTTAAAACTTTTTTGGGTTCCTGCTCTAATATGCAATAGGATTGGTGCTGCAGAACTAGAACACAAGTTAGGCTTCCTCTTCCAATTGGGTTCTTAATATATTTGAACATGTTAGCTTGGTGTCTAATCATGTGAGTTTTCCTTGAGTTTGTAGTGATTTTTCATGTCAAATATTCGGTGATTATGTTAATGTGCTTGTAGTAGCTTCGACTTTTTGTCATAATAATATATTTGCATTGATATGACCTCTGTAGTCAGAATGGATTATAGTTTGGTTTGAGGTTCTTATGATTTAAATGTTTCTTTTAATTGTATGTAGCTGATACCAGATGACATGGAGTTTCAATCTGCTGATACACCAAATTATACAACTTCAGATGGATCAGTATGTTCTCTTGAGATCCCAAGATGTTTTATTGCTGTTTCTGGTAATTTTTTGTCTCGTCACTGTGCCGAACTTGATCCAATATGATTGATTTTGGCAGGTTAAGATTCAGAAAGACACTGAAGTGCGGTTGAAGATTATTGGAACTCGAGTTGATGCCACAGAAATTGTATGCCTACCTTCTCCTTTCGCTCAAATTGCATATGCAGTCGCTATTTGATTTTCTACTTACTAATATATCTCGAGCTCAATTTTTCCTCTTATGCCCTAGTTTTCTTAGGGTTCATTCTGCGTTCACATGCTCCACATGAACTACCCGTAGCTTCTAAATGCTCATGTGTCGCCCAGTTTGAGATTTTCTTAGTTTTCATATAATGTGGTAGGTCAAATATTCATGTGAGTGAGTATGTGACTCTTGTCATATATAGAGTGATTGAGGGTTGGACTACTTTGAGGTAGATTGAAAGAGTGTAGGATATTGAATGAGAATTACCATTGCTCATGATGTTGGCAATTGGAATGAAAGTAGAAATTTTTTGAAAGTGGTAGGTTATGCATTAGCATCCAAGTGTGTGCTCTAATCACTAATTAGTTATATTATATTGATAAATCTCATAGACTCTAGGTTTAATTAATAAACTCCGTGTCTCCATATGATGAGAGAAATTGGCTTTCTGAGTTTAATCTCTAAAAGCATTAGTGACTGTTATGGAGTGGAGGGATTTGATCCAATAAATTTGATAGGTTTGTCTGTAGTGTTTTTTTTTTTTTTTTCCTCGCTCCTATTGTAAAACGTTCTGTTTTTGATATTTTGCAGTTCTGCATTGGTACAATCAAAGATGATTTTCTGGGCGTGATTAGTGACCCCGGTGCTACATCGTAGAAGGAAATCCAAGCTGTATTTTAGCTTTTTATCTTGTGTTTGAACATAACCGCTCCAAGCTAACCATATTAATACTTTGTATGAACCAGGAAATTTTGGTCCTGGATTGTAGTGTCATACAAACTGCATTACTAATCCATTGAAATGTCTCTATAGCATTATATGATTAAAAGTATTTAGGACATTTCACTCCACGTTATTTTATAATTTATATGAGGCAAAAATACTTTCTTTGGCAAATGTTCAAAAGATGTGTATATGTTTGATAGTAAAGTGTGTCCTAAAGTCGTAACAGTACTACACAATTCCAAAAGGTAAACACGGAAAAGTTTATATAATTACTTCTTTAGAGCCTCCCTAAACTAGGAGAAAAGCAGAAAGTAAGTTGCTTCATTGTACTTGTATACAAATAGATTGGAGATTAGTTACTCTGACATGTAAGCTCGGGGATCTGCCTCTTATGTCGTATTTAAAATTTTTGAATGCGATACAAATTTATGGTTTTTTTGAAACTTATTTACACCTTTGTGTCGAAATGAAGCTTAATAACAAAATTATTGTCCACGTAGGCTTGAATAAGGGTTTTTCTTATTTTAGTGAAGTAGCGGCTTACATAGTAAAATCAAAACTAAATAACGGTTTAGTGACCTTAGCTCTAATCAAAACTAAATAACCGTTTAGTGACCTTAGCCCTAAAAGAATTGAAGAATACCGAACTATTTAGGCCAATATGGACCATTTTTTTGTACTCTGCCGTAATTAAAATTTCCGACGTGAAATTGTAAATAAACCTCACTTTAAAAATAAAAAATAAAAAAAAAAAAAAAAAAAATCAGAAAAGTAGGTCTTTTTCCTAAAAAAAATAATTATAAGACCGGCCTCATATGATTTGGCTCCTTCAAAGTTCAAACAACGAGAGAAAGGCTTACTTATTATCTGTGGCACCAAACAATTGAGCTTTCTAAACCATTGTAATCAAACTTGTATTGAAGAAGAAACCAAATTTAATCAACAACCCAGAAAAAAATCAATCTTTTCAATGTGATGTGGGTACTTAATTCTCCCCAAATCATCAAACCACCAATCTCTCGCTTACCTATCAAACACAGAACATCTTCGACACAACCAATCACCTCCGTCGTTTTCTGCTCTTCCGCCGCCGGCGCCGCCGCTGAAACCGCCAATAAGAACCCCACAATTCAGTCATTATGCAAGAAAGGAAATCTCAAACAAGCCCTTCATCTTCTTTCCTCAGAATCAAAACCAACCCAACAAACTTACGAGCTCTTAATCCTCGCTTGTGCCCTCCAAAAGTCTTTTCCTGACGCTTTTGCTGTTCATCGCAACATTGTTGATAATGGGTTTGATCAAGATCCGTTTTTGGCTACTAAATTGATTGATATGTACTCGGAATTGGACTGTATTGATTATGCACGCCAAGTGTTTGATAAAATTCCTAGGAGAACTATTTATGTTTGGAATGCTATTTTGCGTGCTCTTACATTGGCTGGTTATGGGGTTGAGGCATTGGGTCTTTATAGGGAGATGAATAGGATTGGTATGCCCTGTGATAGGTTTACTCATACTTATGCAATTAAGGCTTGTGTTGTGTCTGAATCAATGACTACTTCGTTGTTGGAGAAAGGGAAGGAGATTCATGGCCGGGTTTTGCGACATGGGTATGAAACCCATGTGCATATCATGACAACTTTGCTAGATATGTATGCTAAGTTTGGAAATGTGTCGTATGCGAGCTATATTTTCGATGGGATGCCTGATAAAAATGTTGTTTCTTGGAGTGCTATGATTGCTTGTTATGCTAAAAATGAGAGGCCATTGGAGGCATTGAATCTTTTCCATGAGATGGTGTATGAGATTAGGGGTTTTTCGCCCAATTCAGTGACTATGGTTAATGTACTTCAAGCCTGTGCTGCTCTTGCAGCTTTGGAACAAGGCAGGCTGATTCACTGTTATATATTGAGAAGAAATCTTGATTCCATACTGCCAGTTACTAGTGCCCTCATGACTATGTATTCAAGATGCGGGAAACTTGAGGTTACACAGAAGATTTTTGACCAGATGGATAAGAGGGATGTTGTTTCGTGGAATACATTAATTTCTAGTTATGGAATTCATGGTTTTGGTATGAAGGCTGTTCGCGTTTTTGAGGAAATGCTTAGTAGGGGAATTAAACCTAGTGCCATCTCTTTTGTGAGTGTATTAGGAGCTTGTAGCCATGCAGGGCTTGCTGATATGGGAAAAAGGTTATTTGATTCAATGACCGAGCAGCATGGGATTTCTCCAAGTGTAGAGCACTATGCATGCCTGGTAGATCTATTAGGCCGTGCCAATCGAATAAAAGAAGCAGCTAAAGTTATAGAAGACATGAAAATTAAGCCAGGACCAAAAGTTTGGGGTTCTCTCCTTGGCTCATGTAAGATTCACGGTAATGTTGAGCTTGCAGAGAGAGCAAGCACTCAACTTTTTCAACTCGAACCTGCCAATGCTGGAAATTATGTGCTGTTGGCTGATATTTATGCAGAAGCTGGAATGTGGGATGAAGTGAAAAGAGTGAAGCAGCTTCTAGAAGCCCAGGGACTGCAGAAGGTTTCTGGTCGAAGTTGGATTGAAGTGAGAAGGAAGATCTTCTCGTTCATGTCAGTTGATGAGCTTAACCCCCAGATTGAGCTGATTCATGCTCTTTTGGCTGAGTTTTCTGAGGAGATGAAGCAACAGGGATATACCCCACGGACCGAACTTGTTCTCTATGACCTTGAAGAGAAGGAGAAAGAACGGATTCTCCTGGGACACAGTGAAAAACTAGCTGTTGGCTTTGGACTCATAAATACTAGCAAGGGAGAAACCATAAGGATCACTAAGAACCTACGGTTATGTGAAGATTGTCATACTATGACCAAGTTTATCTCCAGATATACCAGCAGGGAGATTATGGTTAGGGATGTTAATCGCATTCATCATTTCCGTGATGGTGTTTGCTCCTGTGGCGATTACTGGTAGTCTCATGTAAAATTTATGCTGATTCTTTATACCATAACAACATAAAGAAATCTCAGTTGGACCTAGATGAATTTTATATGTTGTACAGTGACCACAAGAAATTAAACAAATTATAGGTTTTTTTTTTTTTTCACAGTTCCTTCGCAGTTGCATCATTTATTTTTTTTTTCTTTTTTTTTTGGTAAATCACAGTTGCATCATTTTTTAGTCTAACCAGTTTTCAGGACAATGTGCTAAGTAGTTTCTGTGCCCACTGAGCCTTTGTTAGAGTAATAATTTTTTTGATGCTTCAGTTGGTGTTTGGGATTATACTTGGTACCACATTAAGGAGGCATTAATCAAAATATCCTTTGATGTTATGCATCAAAGCTAGCATGGCTACTCAGGTACGAGGGGGCTCAGAACACAAGTTAGCTACAAGATATGACAAGGGGTGGGGCCGTGGGGGGATGGGAATATTGTTTCAGATGTTGAAGAGCTGATCTCAATTTGCAACAAGCCAAAAAGAAGTGATAAAATCAATACAATAGCTTTTTTTCTTCCAAGTTTCTGTAGTAAGGAGTATAACAAAACATTGTAGTCCTTGGAAAGAATACACTAAAAACAAAAAACACAAGCTCCCTTAATATCTACGGAGTACTTGGTCAATTGTACATTGTCTCTGTGATACCAAGTACAACACATCAAAGAAAAGTATTTCCATATCATTTCGCAAGGAGCGCTCCATCATGCTTCACCTTCATCAAATTGCTCTCAATATTTCGCAACACTGGTTTGTAGCTGAAACATTATAACCAATCCACCTCACATGTCAAACTTAGATAATTTACAGCATGTACTCCACATCTAGAAATTAGATACAGTATTTTAAAGAGGAAAACTTACAGGCGTGCAAGACCTGTATATGCCCGTGAGGTTTGATGCAGCTGCAAAGAAAGTTGCATGACCTCTGCAGACAAACTCTCTGCTCTGCTTTGCTCCCTGAGCAGTTGACCCTGAATGCAGTATTGCAGATACAAATCAAATTCAACAAGTTTAAGATGCTATAACAGATTAACAGTTTCCTTTGACTGAACGTACGACTCACAATTACTAATCAATTAATCATACTCCCTAAAGCTGAATTAATAGTCAAGTATAATTTTAGGATGTTTGGAAAAAGTCAAAGGGTGCTGGTTTATGCCTGACTGAATCTCTTAATATAACTCCCCAGTAAATTTAATTGGTGGAAAGGGAAGTATATGGATATACATAATTATTTTACTCATAAGGGTATTTCTGTAAAACCATGTCATAATGTCATACCCTTCTGAGGGGTATAGGAGGGACTAGGAAACAATGTGACACTAATTTATGATGGAGGGAGTACAAATAAAAAGAGCTAAGAAAGAACGCCTGCAAGTTTTAATGGCACAACAGAAGAAAGCCATGCATTCCAACTCTTAATGCCAAAAACTAACCTTGAGTTTCAGTATATCATCTGTATCAGCTGATTCAGTATCACTTTTCCCATGATTGTTTGTCCCCAGAGAGCCGTTAGTCATCTGCACCCCATTTGAAGACATAGTATTGATTTGTTCTGTTCTCAGCTTATCTAGCATACCTCGTAGCTCTTCATTTTGCTTGAGACATTCTTTGACCTGTATTATTAAAAAATTAGGCATTTTCTGGTTTGTGATTAAAACAACTATAAATATTGTAGGAATGAAACCCTTATGCAGGTCAGATTTTCTAATATGGAAGGATGGAAACCTGAAAAGTCAGGAATCATTTCTTCTTTAGCCAACAAGTTCTTCCCCTAAACATATTTTGAAAGTCCCAAAATGACCTATTCTTTTTCTTGTCTCTACAATAAAACCTAAACTAACTCTGATACCTTCTTGATATATTCATTATTGTTAAAGCAGGGAAAATAACTTCAGATTTCTTGATATCACTTATAGTTTCACTTATTTTCCAATTGTGTTTCCATGTTTCTCCTAATTCTATGTTTCAATAAATCTTTTTCTGATTCCACACAATATACTAATATTTACAAAACTGTTTAAGATACCAAAACAAGGAAAGTTCATGAAAATCAGCATAGATGCACAACTTGACAGTTAAGTAAGGCCTCTATGTCAATTAAGGGATTCCATTCTTACATTTGTGTGCTAGAGACTATTCAATACCTTGAAGGTAAAGGTCTTAGTTTTTAATACCCTGAGATTAAGATATCACCAGGGAATATCTGACAGGACGGATAAATAGGGAGGATTTGAAGCACAGATAGCTATCTAGAATACACATACAATATATCAGATTATGAACTTAATGAACAACTATAGACAAACTTCAAGCAACTTAAATCACCTGATTCTCCCAGTGTGAGGCGATACCCACAGCCTCCTGATAAGCAGATGTCAGACTTGAAATTTCCTCAAAGAGCTTTTCTATCTCGGAAGATTGAGAATCGATCTGCCAAACACACTGTCTAACTTGAGCAAAGGGGAAGGAACTAATATTGCATTTAGGAAAAAAGAAGGGGTAGCCGTATGGCTGTAGGGGTAAGAAAAGAATTTATGTTCTAGATTTCACTAGGAAGAGATAATTAATGAGGCAAAGGAGGTCACCTCTAGCAGAAGCTTCTGCCTCCCACCTTCTAATCTCTCAACCATTATTGCCATATCATGCAACTGGCCCTCCAACTTCTCCTTGTCTTGCTGCAAAATAATATTAAACTGTGAAATTAGGAGACAAACGGCATTGGAAAGACCACATTCAACTAGAAGGTAGTTCATAGAAGCAAGATTAGGAGACAAACGGCATTAGAAAGACCACACTCAAATAGAAGGTAGTCCAAAGACGCAAAGAAAAAGAAGTTTTCGGATGTGTAGGCTGTAATTATGGTACATAGATGACTTTTTCAGATCCCATGAGTCAATCCAAGTCATATGATTAGATGATTGGATTTATTACACAAAATGGAATCAAATGTCAAGGCTTAACTAATTTTTGCATACCAAATTTTTCGTTTTTTCTATCTGTCCGGTTATCCTGCCTTATGAAAGAATGTCAAAGCTTGAAAAATATAGCTTATAAAGAATAATGAATATCAAGGTAGAGCAACCATAGCTTCCTTGAAACAACCCAATACAAGGGAATAATTTAAATCAATGTCAATATGAAGGAGAATCAGACTGACCAGGGTAAATGCCTTTGATGATGATTTTTCGGCAGCATCTTCTGCAACACATACAAAAAAGACTATTAAGAAAGCAAGTCCACTACTTGATGTCAATAATAATTAATGAAAGCCCATCTACAGGTATCCTAAAGCTTAGAGGATACAAAACCATTCCCTAATACCACTGCAAGATGAAAAAAAGGTCCCCGGTGCTAAACTCCTAAGACATAGCTTCCACATCTCCTTATTATATATAATAAAAATGATAATATAGTACTGGATTATGTAAATGTGTACAAGCTAGAGCATTACAAATATACGAAAAAAGTTTTCCATGAGAAAAAATTTACAATAACAACCACCACCACCCTGGCGTCAAAAATAAAGGTTAAGCTTCCAAGGATTACCTGATATTTGTCTTGCCAGTTCTGCAAGCTTCAATTCCAAGTCCTGCTTCTCTGACATAAGAGCGGAAACCCTAACTTGCTCTTCTTCTAACCTTTGTTGCTCTTGATGCCTAAGTTTTGACTCTCTCTGCAACAAGATTTATCATAAGAGAACTCAAAGATAACAGTGAATTTTTAACATGCTTTTTGAAACAAGCACTCACTTCTAACTCTAACTTTAGGTTAGCCAACTCCTTTTCCAAAGAATGCATGTGATCTGGTGGGTTTCCCATAGAAGCCATGCTACTAGCAGAGTCATTGAATGCTTGTCGCTGAATGGAATTAAGTTCTGCTCTTAGAGCAGCTGCATCTCCTTCAGCCTATTGCAAGACAATGGTTAGGAGGGAGAATATCAAATCTATTATTACTTAATTAGAAAAGGTGAGAAAACACTCAGCATACTCGATATTGTTCTTCTTCAGCCTCCTTGAAACGCTTTTTCAATGTCCGAACTTGCGCTGAGAGATCCTCCTACACTAAAAAATACCAGATTCCTTAGGTAAAAGGTTACAAAACTATGGCTTAAATAGCATCCAGATAATACAGTTTATTTCCTTTTAAAAGTCCATACCCGTGCAACAACTGCTGCATCTTTCTCCATCGCAACATCCCTAAGCGCTTTCCTCAAAGAAGGTACTGTATTTTGCTCCTGCATTCCAACGAGAAAATCAATACAGCCAATCTATTGAAAAACCCTTCGCACACAGATCTGTTCTAATCCAAACATCACCCATAAAACCAATAGTGTGGCGTAATTCTAATATGTCTACCAGATCACTTAGACGCTTCTGCAACGAGTCACACTCCACTTCCTTTTCCTGAAGCTGCACCGAGAAAGCAAAAACATAATTTCAGAAGTAAATTATCAACATCCAGAAAAGTGGCGCAAGACTTTGAAGCAATTGCAATAAGGTTAACCTAAAAACCTTGGAGCTCAGTCTGTAGTTCTCGTCTTCAAACTCTGTATTCTTCTTCTGCAAATCCTTCAACTGTGATACTAAACTCCCTATATCATTCTGTACAATACATTAACAATCAACAACCAACAACCAATCAGCAGCACATCTAAATCTGAACCTAAGGAGTATAACCCCCCATAAAAAGGCACAACATTGAAAATTCCCCAAAAGATTGAGACTTTCTGAACTACTCTAGCAAACCTTTCAGCAGTACTACTAATAGTCCAGTACCAATAGCGTCCCATACGACACACCGACTTTTCAGCACAATACAACTTATGTAAACTTGATTTTGGGCAATTTAACCACTCATAAAAAGTTTTTTTTTTCTTTTTTATATAAAAGCACAAAGATTGAAACTTTAGGGCAATGTATCATAGAAGGAATCTACAATCAGTTACTGTATCAGAAATTGTACTCAAATTCTACTGAAAAAGGGGATTATATTTTATTTAACTCAATGCACATTGCCTAAGATAATTATCTAGCATAAATTCCAGTATTAGAATATGAGCTTTAGTTTGAAGATATATACCTCAGAAAGCCTGGAAACACTATCAGATTTTTTTATCCCACCATTATCTGCAATTGAATTCAGAAAGAAAAGAAGAAAAAAAAAACCCAAACTCAATAATTCTTATAATTAATAAATATTAAAAAAAAAAAAAAAAAAATCAAGAATTCAATCAGAAATATTACCAAGTGGGTTAGAAGAAGTACTAAGATCTGATCCAGAAGACACTTTTTTCATCCTCTCAGCCGCTCTCTTCTGTCGAATTTCTTCCAACTAAATTTATTTCAAAAATACGAAAGATCAAATCTTTTTCAGATAATTGAGTGAAATTAATCTAATTAATGAAAGAATATAAAAGAAGAAATAAAAACTGGATTTTGTTTTTTTGTTGAAGTACCGTTCGTCGACCAAGAGAAGCATGGTGGTGCTGCGCGTTCATGGTGTTTTGAGGAGAGAGAATTTGGCCGGCGAATGTGTCACCGATGAAGGTGACGGAGTTTATTTATTTTCTGATGGAATTTGGTTCGAATTTGGAATTGAATTTCTAATGGAAATTTTTGGTGGTTATCTTTGATAAATTTAGATTGGGGTTTAAACTTAGAAAATTAATCTCTTGAGACTAATCAAAGGGGCTGGGTGGCGTAGTCGGTTATCACGCTAGTCTCACATGCTAGAGGATCCAGGTTCGAATCCGGGCTCAGACAATTTTTGGCATTTTAATTGTTTTAATCAATTTTTTTCTTGCATGAAAATATGCCAATACAACTATACAAGTAGTAATTTAATTATAACTAAATAACTAGGGCTGTACACAGTTTGGTCTGGAAAGTAACCAAATCGGACCAAACCGCATTTTAGTTGTTTGGTTTGGTTTATGGTTTGTAAAATTACGGTTTGGTTTCGATTTTTTGTAAATACGGTTTACGGTTTGGTTTGGTTTTTCAAAAATCAAAAACCAAACCAAACCATAAACCACTAAACCAGTAAACCGTATTTTAATATTTATATAATTTTTAAATAAATTAAATAATTATTATAAATTTTAATAAAAAAACAATAAAAATATGAAAAATCAAAATACAACAGGGTATACGACTATACGGTTAGTAGGTCGGTAGGTCATAAACTTATAAATTTATAATCAAAATAAAAATATGTTGTTGAATGAGTGCTTGAATATGTGGTAATATTGTTGGCCTGTTGTGAGCCTCTGATGTTATCATTCTTGTCATGTTGCTGCCAATTTGACATATGTATAAATTATAATAATGACTATAATGTATTATGAATTTATGATGATAAATTGATTGTTATTGTATTATGTGTTAGCACTTGGATTGTTATTTTTATTGTAGATTTGTAATACAATTTAATCCGTTTGGGCTAATTATTTAAACTTTATTATAAGTTAATTAATGATGTATTATTTGGCAATTTTTAGGGAAAAATAGTGTCTCGTCATAAACCGCAAACCAAACTGTATTATTACTGTTTGGTTTGGTCTGGTTTAAATACTAATATGGTTTGGTTTGGTTTGGTTTGAAAAATTGACCAAAACGTATTTTGTGGTGTGGTTTGGTTTAGACTCAAATCGCACCAAACCAGACCGTGTTCACCCCTAATTATAACTTAATTGCATCTGTGTTTAGGTGAAAGAATTTGTATGGGCTGTCCTCCATTATGAGATAGTATGGACATTAAAAATGTGTATTGAAACAAATTCAACAACATATATGAAATTTGTGATGTATTAGTAAATAATGTAGTCGAAGATAGCGAACAAATAGTATAAAAGTCGACTTGTTGTGTTTAATCATGAATAAAGGGAGAAATTTTTATCCATCTATCATATAATCCAATCCAAATACTCTTGTTACTAATTCTAAGTAAAATTGATTCCTATTATCAATGTTTTTAATTAATTGGCAAATGTCTTTAATTTATGTTATTCCTTTATGTGAAGTATAATCTCTATAATCTTCATTGATTAAGGGCTTTGTTTTTGCTCACCTAATATTATTCAAGTTATTAGGGTAGATAATTTGTAAGGAGAGGTTCCTAATATTTGTTCTTCTTATCTTACTATTAAAAAAATTAGATAATTTGGATCAGGCAAGTATAGGTTAGTTCAAAGTGAATAAAAGAAGGATTGTATTCCGTACTTTGTATAATCAAATTTTTTATTTTTTTATTTTTTATTTTTTGTTGGTAAGGAGAAGGGCCCTACCGGTGTGTGGGCTAGACACTTTAGAAGTGAGAGAAAATCGGAGAAGGGTTTAGGAAATCCTCACCTCAAATTCTCAAAGTATCTCTTGTGTGATTTGAGATTTGACAAATTATCAAAGTCGATCTTCAAAAAAACGAAGGAAGTATACACAAGATACTTGTATATTACACGATTTACACGGGAGTTTTTTACATTTTATGAAAGTACGGAGTGATAAAATCATAGCACCTCACACTAGAAATTACGAGTACTTCGTAACTAAACTTACTTTTTTGCAAACAATCGTAACTTTTTTAATTTCACTCTGATCTTTTCCACTATTTCTCTTTGCAACAAAACCCTAATTTTCTCTCTCCTCAAACAAACAAACAACAAAGATGCAGCAATAAACCAAGCTTCGATAATGGGGTGAGGTAGACGAAGACGAATACCTAGATTTCTTGTTGTTACCTCCAAAGCAAGTAATTGGTCCAGATGACAATGGCGTCAAAAAAGTAATCAAATATAAATTCAATGACGAAGGTAACAAGGTTAAGGTTACTACCACAACTAGGGTTCGTAAGCTTGCTTTGCTCATCTTAGCAAGAAGGCTATCGAACGTCGTTCTTGGCTTAAATTAGAGGGTGGAGGTAAGGAAACCCCTACTTTCAAGCAAATGTAGTTAGTAGGGCTCAAACTCGTAATCTCAAAGTTACAAGATGAGTTCCGATCCCCACCAACTCCACCAAGCTTTGCTTGGTTATTAAGGTCTTTTTTAGCTCACCAAAATTATACAAATATGTATAAGCTATAAGGGTAGATAAGTATGTATTATAATCTATCTCCCTTACCCCTTTTTCGCAAAGGGCCTAGGCTGTGAACTCGGACTGGATGAATTTGTGAAAAGTTCTTGCCCTGTAGGGCTTTCTAATATTTATTTTTCTTACATAAAAGGATAAATAATGACATCTATTTTATATTTACAACCACAATAAACTCTTATAAGACTACAAGTTCATATTAGTCAAGTTTGTATATAGCAAAAGCTAACGAGCACCCTCGAGAAGTTAGATAAAAGAACTAAATGTGGAAATATTAAAGTAAAATTAGCATTAATTACACCGATTGACGCGTAATTTTATCATGCATTCCAAATTTAATATTATTGTAAGTAATACGAAGTATATTAATAAGTTATCTAACGCAATATTATTGATAAGTAAAATTAATAAAATTATCTAACGCACTTATTATATTAATATTATTGTAAATAATACTACTATTTTAATATAAGTAATATATTCCGAACTTAATAATTTTATCCATACTTGTTTGCAAGATCCTATATACGTAGTACGAAGTATATTACATGGGAGTTTTAATCTTCCTATAGACCGTAAACTAAAAATCCACTTGTAAAAAATCGAGACTTTTTAATCTTCTTTCTCATCTCTTCCGCTATTTCTCTCCTCAAACAAATAACCCTAATATTCTCTCTCCTCAAACAAAACCCTAATCAACAAAGATGCAGCAGCAAACCAAGCTTCGATGGGGCGAAGTAGACGAAGATGAAGACCTAGATTTCTTGCTGTTACCTCCAAAGCAAGTAATTGGTCCAGATGATAATGGCGTTAAAAAGGTCATTGAGTATAAATTCAATGACGAAGGTAACAAGGTTAAGGTTACCACCACAACTAGGGTTCGTAAGCTTGCTAAAGCTCATCTTAGCAAGAAGGCTATTGAACGTCGTTCTTGGCCTAAATTCGGTGATGCTGTTCATGAAGAAGTGGGCGCTCGTCTAACTATGGTTTCTACTGAAGAAATCGGCCTTGAACGACCTGCTGCTCCTGGTTCGCTTCGATTTCGCTTCCTTTTGGTTTTGATTTTTTTTTTTTTTTTGCTGTTCTTAATTTTGATCTTCGTTGCGATTGATGAATTGTTGGTTGATTTTGTTGTTGTTGTTTTAGGGTTGTCGAATCTGACTGTGTTATTCATGTGTTATTGGATTGATTTTTAATGGATTTACTCGTGAATTTGTTCTATGTTTGAGTGATTTTTGGAAGAAATTAAGTGGTTTCCTGATTTCTCGAGGCTGTTTGTGTAATTTTGGGGGAATTGGAGATGGATAGGGTTCTGGATTTATGAATTTTTATTTTTGAACAAATATTAGTTTGGAAGATATGAAACTTTAGAGGTGCCAAGAACCATAAACCGAGGCTTTTTAATCATTAAGCTTGTATTTTGAGTTAGCGATGTGATTAATTCACATGTTTTAAAGGTTGCTGATGGAAATTAGATGCTCAAGGTTGTAAAGTTTGGATCTTTATGAATTTTTTGATTCCTGAAGTATTTTAGAACTATTCTGATGGATGAACTTGTAGGTGATTGGGACATTGAGGTTAGTATTTGTGGGAGAATGGATGGGAAACTGAATGTGAAATAGGTTTATTGTTATGGTTTTGATGATTTTCATTATTGGTGATTTATTGTAATGGTTTTGATGATTTTGGAAGGAGGTTTGGAGTTAAAAATAACTTGGTGCGTGCTAAATATTATTTTATTTGTTATTATCGGTAGTTTTCTTAATAACAAATGTGATATAATAGGTAGGAGAATAGGATCAGGGGTTTTTATGTCAGGCTAGGGCTGGGATGTTACTTACTACAGAGTATAATATACTATAAGTTTCACTCCTTATATTGTGTACTCCTTACTAATTAAGGTCAAAGATCTGTTTGGTTGTAATAAGTAGGATTGGTGGCTACTCTGTTGATATAGACTAGATTGGTGGTGCAAACATTTTATTACTGTAGCGTATGGAGTCTTCAAGACATTAGAATAACATTTGGAACCATAAAAAATGTATAAGAATAATTTTAAGATTGGAATTTGTTGTTATATGGCTTATTAGTAGCTTATCTGGTTGACTGAAGCTTCAAGACTTGTTTATGAATAGATGAACTTGCTTATAGAACCTTATGTTTTCTGTGTTTGTTTCTCTTGTTATTGTTTTCTTTCACTATTGTTGTCTTCACTTTAGTAATATACTACTTCCCTTTTATTTATTTATTTACTCTATTGTCACTATTATTATTAGTAGTATTAATACTAATATAGTGATAGCATTAGCATTGTTGCTACTATAATAGGTGTTACCTGTATATTTAGACAAGTACACTGAGCCATTGATAGAAAAAGAATTAACAACAGATACTGAGATAACTATGCCTAACAGGCTAACACATAGCAGTTTGCTAATGACAGTTTGCAAAGATATTGACAACCTCTTCTCTGAAATATGGTGTTCATATATTTAAGGAAAAATTGCGAGGAAGGTCCTTTTAAGGAGTTGATCTTGTGAGGAAGATCCTGTTATGAAAAAAGTGGCACAAAAGGTCCTTTTATGGACTTTGGGTTGTGAGGAGGGTCCTTTGACCAAACTCCGGCGTTGACTTCCGAATTCCGGCCAAAAAAAAGTCACGTGCACAGGACGTTAACACTTTAGATTTTTTTTTTTTTCCTTTTTTTCCCTTTCCCTTGGAACAGCCAGACCCAGCCGGCCAGCCGCCCTCCTTGATTCCCTCCCACCAAATTCACCACCAACACATCCAGCCACCCTCACACCAATTCAGGGACTGCCATAGCCTATAGGGGGTTCCATCCATCCCTGAATTAAGGAAGAGGGAAGGGGAAGGGACTGTTATGTCCAAACAGCCACCTCCTCCCACCACCCAAGTACTTCGATCCCCCGCCCCTAACTGCCGCCGCGCCTAAAACCCCTCTCCCCCGCCCCGGCTCCGGTGCTGCCACTCCCCCAACCACCAAAACCCCAACCCGAAAACCTCCTTACTCAAACCCGAAACACCTAAAAAAAGCAACCCCACCGCACAAACCCCCTAATCGGCCCATTCCCACCCTCGAAACCTTAGACTCTAGGGTTTTGATGGTGGGGGATGGCCGTTTGGAAGGTTTTGCGCTGGGGTTGGGCTTTTTAAAGCGTTTCGGGCTGCAATGATGGTGGGTTTGGGGTCGGAATTAGGTGATTTAGGGGGTATGGGAGGGGAACGCCGACGCCGGCACGCGCGGGGGATGCCAGGAGGTAGGGGGTGCTGGGAATAACCGTGGCTGGTGGTGGTGGCTCTGGCTGTTCCGGTAGAAGGAAAGGGAAAAAAAGAAAAAAAAAATAATAATCTAAAGTGACTTTTTTTTGGCCAGAATTTGGAAGTCAACGCCGGAGTTTGGTCAAAGGACCCTCCTCACGACCCAAAGTCCATAAAAGGACCTTTTGTGCCACCTTTTTCATAAAAGGACCTTTCTCACAAGGTCGACTCCTTAAAAGGACCTTCCTCGCAATTTTTCCTATATTTAAATATGTTGCAAACTTTGACTTGGTGTTAAAAATTTAAAGCTAAAAAAATAGATGTTGGGTTTTTAGCTTCAAATACTTCTGTTTGGTAGGTAATTAGATATATTCTTTGGTTATTCATGTTTGGTCTGATTTTCTTAGCTCAGTTAATAATCCCTGTTGAAACATTGCACATAAAAATTGATAGTTGGACATGGAAGTATTTATATTGTGGATGGGTCTGGTGGGAAAAGTTGAATGTAGCCTTGGGGTTTGAGTTTCTAGGATTTTTGCCTTCATTGGTTAGCAGAAAGGAAAGTGATGCTGAGATAAAGATCCCCATTGCACATTCCTTGTACTTCTGAATGTAATTAACCAAAGTTTGTTCATGTCTCTGGAAACGAGGGTGTTTGTTTTCTTGATGTTAATTACTCATTGTTTAGTGTATTGATATCTTCTAAACTTATTTCTGATTATGTGGAGTGTTGAATTGGTGGTATTCCTGGTAAAGAACTAGACAGTTGATTGTTTAGGTCCAAATATGTTTCTAGGATAATTTATGCCATCGAAGATTTTGCGTTAGATCAATGTCTATGGTATTGATTTAGTTCGTTAACTGTTTGTTTGTGAAATACAATTAGTTTCCTTCTGTTGTTTTCCTGTCGTACCAAATATTGTTATCACTGATCAGAGCTCTTGGTGCAAGCTTGTCATTTTATTTTGCACACAATTATTGCTCTTAGTACTGATTTTTCATAACCCCCTGTTGAAGCAAGCTCTTTAACATTTGTTTTCTTGACAGGGGCCAATAAAGAAGAAACAAAAGCTGCATCTGATAACCCATTCGGCAAAGGTGCTGTCCTCATGCTTTGTAGGACCTGTGGTAAGAGAGGTGACCACTGGACTTCAAGGTGTCCCTACAAGGATCTTGCACAACCTCCTGAAACCTTCGTTGATAAGCCTCCCACAGATGGACCGGCAGCTGCTTCTACAACTGGCTCCAAGGGAGCTTATGTTCCTCCAAGTTTGAGAGCAGGTGCAGAGAGAACTGTCACTGACATGAGGCGCCGGAATGAAGAGAACTCTGTTCGTGTTACCAATCTCTCTGAGGATACCAGGGAAGCTGATCTCCATGAGCTCTTCAGGACATTTGGTCAAATCACCAGAGTTTATGTTGCCATCGACCAGAAGACTGGGTTGAGCAGAGGATTTGGGTTCGTGAACTTTGCGAACCGAGAAGATGCTGAGCGGGCCATCAATAAGCTCAATGGCTATGGTTATGATAATCTCATTCTTCGAGTTGAATGGGCTACTCCAAGGGCAAACTAGAATATAACGATGGTTTTTTTTTTTTTTTTTTTTTTTTTTTTTTTTTTTTTTTTTTATTTCTCTCTTGTGACCAATCAATTTTTGATATTCCTGTTTTACTATCGGATTAGGCTGATAAATCTTTATGCTATCTGAGATGATTTCAACATATTAGTTTGATATGTTTGAGATGGTTTTAATTTGAACTTTAATTATTTAATCTTCTAAGGTATATTAAATCAAGAAGGGAATAGGTAAATATGAGTGCAGAAATGGAGATATTCTGGATCTTTTCATGTGTTGTTTCTAAAGCTACATTTGATAAGAAGTTCGCTTTCGCAACGAAAATCTAGCAATCTACTTCATAGTACAGCACTAGAATGTAATTGTGTGGCCTTGCTAATATTCCCTTTATATATAGTTGCACCATTTTCTTTATGATGATATTATGGTAGTAGTTGACACACTCTTTATTGACTATGATTTTATATTTTTATCTATATAATAAAGCAACTTCCACAAATCATAACCATCCTATAAAAACTAAATCCGTAAACCATTACAAAACACATATGGAGTAATACATATCTTATATCTCATGTGTGTAACATTACTTCTTTCGTCTCATTTTATCTGTCCCATTTGTTTATTTTTTATAATACAACGTAGGAGACATTTGGATCAAGTGGCAAAGACGAAAAGAGTACTTCGTCACATGGACCTCCTAAAATGGTTAAATCTCCACTATTTGAGTATCCTAAGAGACATTTGGCGAAGCAGCTAGTCTATCTTTGGTGTTTCAATTGCACGAGTACATGGTCAAACCCCAAATTAATATTCCTGCAACATGGATGCTGGATTTTAACAAGTGACAAATACTGTAACCTTATGCACGTGACCTCAAAAATCATATGATAATTTTTTTTTTTTTTGATTTAAATATTGATGTTTTTTTAGTAGTAAGATATTATCGCACCAAAAATTAAAAAAAGATAGTATTTTTTGTGTTTAATAAAGTTTTAATAGTAGTCCACGGCATCACCAGGGCATAAACGTTGTTTTCGAAAGAGAAACTCCATGATAGTAACTTAAGATTGAGGAAAGCCACTCATAATTTTGAGGTCCACATCTCCATTATTTCATGACGACGTTTTAAGCATTTTGACCATTCATTTGCTAGTCATTTATGGATAAAAACTATAACTGGTAAATTAACGCGATAGTGGATTTATTTGTAATTTTGCAATTGTTGTGACAATTCGATCAATAAAATTGATGATTAATTTTCTAATATAGTTTAATTAAATTTAATTATCATCATGAACATGTCCACCATTTACCAAAGAAAAAAAAGAAGTAACATGAACAAGTTCATTTACTAAATATTATATTCTTATTTACAAAAAGTCACTATATATTTAGATGAAGTTAGCTGAAAAAGAATTAATTGAATAATTTAGTAGATGCATTTCCACCATGCATGGAAAATAATTATTATGGGAGTTGAGATTGGGCATGCATGTTTTATAAGTATGTTTTAAGTTTTAATTATATGAGAGGCGTACGAATATAAATGTCTTACAACACCTTACAACTAAGTGGATTTTAAATGGCTCATACAACTACACAAGTAGTGATTAGTTCTCAAAAGTCGTCTTTAAATTTGAAGGTGTCATCCTTGAGATGAAAAGTGACCTTAAATAAGTTTATACAGCACTAATATTTACTAACATCTTTTCTTAAAAGAACACGCATTTATTTTATATTTTGGAGACAAAAAGGTGGTAATGGAGCTGGATTTTCGTTGGATTGAGAATTAGTATTTCATCGTTGTTGAAGCTCTCCAAGAAAGCTTTATGAAACCTATAATATCATTTGATAATAAATGATGTTTAGACTTTTTATCTATTTAATGATGTAGTTTGGTCTTTATTATACATGGAGAAAATAAAACCACTTATCATTTGGCCTATTTACAACTTTGATAAGTTGTCCAAACAACATGAGAGATTGAAATCCCTAAACATACACTACGATATTCAAAGTAGATTACATGTATGAGTTGTATCGTTCCATTTTATCAGATGTCTAAAACAAGAGCGTGAAAGCCGTTTTCAAAACCTTTTAACATCATAACATAATAACAATATCATTACCACTTGAAATTAATAACCTTATAATTGCTCTATAGTAAAATAAAAAATAAATAAAAAATCAGCAAAAAGGTAATTAAAATTAAGTTAAAAATAATTAATTAAAAACAAAAGTATTCGGGCAAGAAAGAGCAGAAAATTCTGATAGATTCCCTCCCCTACTTGACAGTTGTGTCGCCCCCATCTTTCTCTCTCTTCTTCTGCTTCTCTCACATCACAAATTCTTCTTTCTTCTCTTTCTCTCTCCTCCGAAGATCGGAGTTCGTCTTCAATGGCGTCGCTCCTTGAATCTGGATGGCAGGTTAGTTCTCTCTTTCCACTAACATTTTCTGATATTTTTAAGCTTCATTTTCATGTTATTATTTGATTATATTTGATTAAATTTAATCTCAATGTTCTCGAGTTTTCCGCATAGTTGAAACTTGAATTTGTTTGATTTTGTATTGCGATTAGATTAGGTCAAATGTTTTAAGCATTACAATTTGATTGATATTAGTTTGATGTTTGTATTAATCTGCGAAAATAATGTTAGCAAATGCGAATTGAAATTTTTTGCTTTAGATTTTATGGTGATGATTCGTACTCATTGTATTACATGCAAGATCATCTTGTTGTTGGAAGGAAATCTAGTTTATGAGGACTGTTTTGGTGTATAGATTAGCATAGGTTTTTAGAGAGTACAAAAACTATAACAATGGCTATTATCTTCCAATCCAGGAATGCAGGGATTTTTGTCATAGGGAACTTGTGGTAGAAATTATATTTTGAATCGGAAATTCATCAGTTGGCTTATTGTATCATAGGTTTAGATTTATCGAGCTTCGTCGATGATCTTGTTTATGCAAAGGTAAGTGTAGATTGATTGGAAAAAGAAGGGAGCAGCAGCCTTATTAAGTTTAGATTACATGTGAAACTTTAATATCATTTTTAAGGCGACGTACTCATCTCATCTTAAGGATATGCTTGTGATATTTTGACTAAGTTTTGAGGAGGAAATTTATAGATAAGATATGTTTGAGGAAGATAAATAAGCATATTGAAAGGAGGCCGAGAACTTTAAGAGTGTTGAAGATAGCAAGGAAGGCATCCCCTGGTTACCTGTTTGCGATGAGTGATCTTATATTGGGGTGATAGCCTGATAGATTCTTAGAGTGTTTGGATAATTTTGAATGGAATGGTGTTTAAAGGAAGATGAGTAAACATATTAAAAAGGATGTTGAGGAATTGAGGAGTGTCGTACATAGCAAAGTAAGACTAATGGTTTGCTCTGTTATTAAAGCACCTTGTGCTGATACCTCTGGTGTAATAGGCATTAGTGCTGAGCAACGATGCCAATGATGTCGTGAACATAGTTTCTGGTAAAGTCCAGATCAATGTTTGCTCGCGATCTCCTGAATTATTTTCCTCATCAGATCTGCTGCAAACACTATTATATTCCTTTCTTCTCATGAAGCATAAAACCTGGATTTGTCCCTACATGCCGGTTTTCTTGGATAAATTTTTAGCTGCTTGTGCTACTCCTTTTGTTTAGAACTCCAATAAGCTAGACTTTGCCATAATCTGTCCACTTCTGCACCTTGTTCCATACTTACGCAGTAAGCATTATGCCATTTTTTTAGTGATGTAAAACTGTAAGCACCTTTTAACTGAGGGCATAAAAGTTACTCCTCCTCTAACACCCCCCCCCCCCGCCCCTGTCCATTTTATTTTTGGTTTGTCCCATTTTGTCCTCCTCTTTGGCTATGTAATACATCAATAATATGGACATTGTGGGTCAGAGGGAATAGTCTCTGGCATAAGATTAATATTTTTTTTCACTTTTTTCCCTTTGATAAAGTTTCTGAATTACATGTTGGTTTAGCATTTTTCTTTGTTTTGTGGCGTCTTCATTTATCTTTTTATTCCCTAATTTATTTATTTTATTTAACTTATCTTCCTGACATTGCAGTATCTGGTAACTCATTTCAGCGACTTTCAATTGGCTTGCATCGGAAGTTTCATCCTTCATGAGAGTGTCTTCTTCTTATCAGGACTTCCTTTTATATTCCTTGAGAGGGGAGGATACCTTAGCAAATACAAGATACAGGTTCCAAAAGTTTCTTTTCATTGTTTATGTATTATGGGAATGATTGGCTTGAAATAGGTTTTTTGTGTCAATTTTATTGATTTTCTGGTTATTAGGTACTCATAATTTCAGTTCTAGTTAAGTTTTGAGTTTTTTGTTTTATTGATTACTTTTAGGACATGCTTGGATTAGGAGAGATGTATTACTAGGGTAAGAAAAGTCAAACTAAGCAAAATGAAAGTGAAAATAGGGAAGGAGGAGATAGTGATGGTGTGATTGTAAGAAAAATTATGTAGTGATGGTGTGGTATGAGGTGAAGAAAAAGGCTCATTTTGGGGGTAAAAGTTACACTAGGGGGAGGGTGGGTGGGTAACTATTACCCTCATTATGATGGTAATAATTCCTCCATCTCTCTCTTTTCCTCATGGCACAACTACCTTATTTCATTTGTAAACACCATGCCTCCTACAATAACACCTCTAATTACTTATGTTTTTTCAAGTTTGACTTTTATTACCCACTTAATATATTAACCCCAATCCAAGCAAGGCCTTAGATTAAAACTTTTCCATGTTCAATTAATTTATGAGAATGCTTGGATACTGATATGTATCATTGTAAATCGTTATCTCACTTATCTGCCTTATGACCCACTACAACTTTAGGTCTTATGTAACAATGACAAAGTAATTAAAATTTGTAATGTCGCCAACTCCCTGCATGAAATACTGAAGATGTTGAAGTGACTGCGATTTATAATCTCCCAAGTAATATAACTCAAACACTATTGGAAAAAAAGGATATATTGGTAGGCTTGAATAGGGAATTGAGCTCATAGCTTGACCATTTTAAAAGGTATATCTCCAATTGCTGTTGACTTAGACTTGATCCCAACCCATGTAGGCTGTAGCATATGTTTAATTTTATGAGTATTTTGGTTGGCCACTCATCTGCTAATTGTGGTCAATTGCAGGCTAAAAATAACCCTCCTGAGGCTCAACAGAAATGTATAACACGGCTATTGTTGTATCATTTTTGTGTCAACCTGCCGGTGATGCTCTTGTCGTATCCTGTCTTTAGAGCTATGGGGATGCGAAGTAGTCTACCCCTGCCTTCCTGGTATCTTCAGGTTCTTTATGTACTGTAGCCTGTTTTTTTAAATCATCATGCTACCTAAAGTCATACTTTTGTTTTTCTTTTGTATTGAATAACTTTTGTGTCCATGCCATGCAATCTTTAGAGCTACTTTGCCACTTTATTTTGCAGGAAAGAAGTGGTGCCTCAGATAATATTTTACTTCATCCTTGAAGATTTTGTGTTTTACTGGGGGCACAGGATATTGCATACAAAGTGGCTATACCAGCATGTTCATAGTGTCCATCATGAGTCAGATTTGAAGACTTATGTTCTTATTTATTTTCTGAGATTTATGCTTCTGCTTGTCTCGAATGTTGAGATACTATTCTGATATGCAGGTATGCTACTCCATTTGGACTGACTTCTGAATATGCTCATCCAGCTGAGATACTGTTCCTTGGCTTTGCAACAATTGTTGGACCTGCCATCACAGGTCCCCATTTGTTTACTCTTTGGTTGTGGATGGTGCTTAGAGTGCTTGAGACCGTTGAAGCACATTGTGGTTATCACTTTCCTTGGAGCCCATCAAACTTTTTCCCTTTATATGGAGGGTGAGCCTATGAGTTAACTTCTTAATGTCAAATCACCTCAAATAGTTTGTATGTATCATGTCATGTGATTATTTATTTATTTATTTTTCTTCTCTTGCAGTTCTGATTTTCATGACTACCATCATCGTCTGTTGTATACAAAGTCTGGGAACTACTCATCGACATTTATGTACATGGACTGGTGAGCATGTGTCTTTTTAGTTTCCTATGGATTGGTAGTTTTTTAGTAGAAAAAACAAATTAAATGGACTTTTTGGAGTGAAAAATTAAGTGATCCTGCTAGATCATCAGCCAGGGATGCTTCAGATTATTTCTTAATGGATTGGAAAATATCAGGCGTAAATCCCACTATTTAATATCTGCTCTTTTGCTTTGCTAATCCTTGAGTCTTCATTTGAATATAATTGGTTGCTTTTTGTATGAATTTGTGATCTCCCATTGGAGTTTTTTAGTTCACCTAAAAGGGAGTATATCAGCTCAGTGTTAATTGCTTTTTGTGAAAGGTTGATTTCCATTTTAATTCTAAGATATATGAGATACCCATTGGTGCAGGATTTTTGGCACTGACAGAGGTTACAGAACATTGAAGGCACTTAAGACTGTTGAAGTTGATGGCAAGAAAATGTAAGAAGCTAAAGAGTTAATTTTTGGTGCCATTCGCTCATTCTGTGGAGGGAATGGATTACAGTCAATCTTAGTATTATCCCGTTCCTTTGTTCTATGTTGTGTGTAGTGACCCCAAGGTATTCCATTTCTTTGATCTATGTCATATGAAGTGACCGCAGCCTCTGTCATGTGTTTAATTACTTTTTGGTTTGAGGTGTGTTGGCGGTTAGAACGCTTGTTCCTTCTATTTCTTCAATGAATGAAATTCTTGGTTATAATTAAAGTTATGTTATTTTGTTGCTTTTTAATTTTGTTGATGTACTTCGTATATTATGTACAGCTATGGTGCAGTTTGTGAGACCTCTTGCAGAAGGCTGTATAAACGGATTCTGAAATGAAAATTCTTGTAAATTAAGGGCTTCTTTAGTACAATATCATGAACTAATTTCTACATACTCCGTAGGCAACTAGGCATTACCTGGTAATGCCTAATTTAAAGGAAGAGTAGTGCTAGTTAATGGTAATGCACTTCCTTTGGAAGTTGACATGGGGCATCCTTCAATATAATTATTTTGTAACTATTTTCATGAATTTGAGTTATATGATAGTGTAATTCATCAATGATAATGACTAATTTAGCACATCGGAACGAACTTGTAGAATATCCTATTTTAAGGTTCCAGGCTGAAACTGCATATTGTCTATGGAACGGCTCAAACAGCAAGCAAACTGCGTTTGTCACAAATCACAGGATACAAGTTCGATAATGCAAATACTCACAAAAAGAGAGTAGAAATTAACAAAGGTATTATATAAGCGTTAAGATAGATACGAGTATTTAAGATGTAAAATTACATGGGTATTGACATTTTGACAATGATCCAACTCTATATTCCTCAGCTGTGTGTATAAACTAGGACCGTTGTGTATACTACGGACAGAGCGCAATTCACAGTGAGTTGCATCACATGCAATGGCAATTAGACGCAACTATTATCCAAATCAATACCCCCAATGTGCATTAAACGGCTTGGCTTGTCTGGTAAAAGCAGCCCAGCCCTAGAGTGCTGATTCAGCCCAAATATCTCAGTCATGCCTGGAAAACCTGGTTTTTGGCTTTAGCCCTGAATCCCCTGATGGCTTGAAGCAAACCAAGTCCTAAGACCAGCTGATGGCTTCTAATAAATTAAAATCTATAGCAGTGAAACATTTCAAAAGATGAAGATCAAGAATTTAAAACAAAAATTAGCCAGCCAAAGTTCAGGAATTGTTAGATCAATTGGTATAATGCAATTTCTAAGATACAACATCTGGAGACTTCACAATCTCCATTGGACTTGACACAGAAAAGATATCTTCTAACACATTGAGGCAAGACAATCCTCAAAAACAATGTTCGGCAATCTAAACTACTCTGATCTCTCTTCGTTCCCTACCAATCGAGGCGGGAGTCAAAATTCATGATTCATCCAAAATCTCAAATAGAAGTCAATACGTTAACCCCTCTAAGAAAATTGCTTTTGGGGGAGGGCTCTCCAGCCAATATCTTGCCGATAAAACCCTTCCGGCCAGTTAATTTTCTCAATAGCTTGATAGGCTCTATCCCTTGCCTCTTGAAGGTCATCCCCCTTGGCTGTAATTCCAAGAACCCTTCCCCCGACAGCAACCAAATTGCCTTCAGAATCTAATGCGGTTCCTGCATGAAATACTTTGACAGAAGGGGCAGCTTTTTCTGCTTCTTCTATATTACTAATGACAGTTCCCTTTTTATAGCTACCAGGGTAACCATTGCTGGCCATGACTACCACCATTGCTGAACCAGGAGACCATTTTAAGGACACTCCTGTTAGCTTACCTCTACAAGCAGCAAGAAGAACTTGTGCCAGATCCGACTCCAAGCGCATCATTAAAACCTGTCATATGCAAGGCATTATTTATTAAGTGTTGCAAACTTCAGCTATGAAAGACTACTTGACATTGATTATATTGTTGCAAACTTCAATTTTCCAAAGAGTAAAGAACAGCTTCATCTTTCAGATAAGATTTTTCTGTGCAAATTACTCCCAACACTAAACACATCAACAAATGAGTAGTTTATTAATTACCACTGTTCATATGGACAGAGCTAACATAAATTTTTTATAGACTATTAGTCCGTTTGCTCAATTTGCAGCTATGAAAAACCTATCATGTTGGGAAAGTTTTTAGCAAAACTATCAAAGCACCTAGATAGCATTATCTAAGCAGTAAGCATAGGTGTTAATGCACTTAAATTGCATATCAGGAATATAAATTGATAAACGAATTGATAGAGTACTCACCTGGCATTCAGGGTCTCCAAACCGGACATTGTACTCAATAAGCTTAGGGAGTCCAGATTTCTTTTCAATCATAAGACCAGCATACAAGACCCCAACAAACTTGCAACCTTCTGCAGCCATCCCTTTGACAGTGGGAAGAACTATAGAGTCCATCACCAAAGCCTGAAGTTCTTTTGTCAACACAGGTGCAGGTGAATATGCACCCATCCCACCTGTGTTAGGCCCTGTATCACCATTTCCAACACGTTTATGGTCTTGAGCAGATTCTAGAGGAATAGCATTCTCACCATCCACCACTGCAAAAAAGGACGCTTCTTCTCCTTCCAGAAATTCCTCAACAATGACACGACTACCTGCAGAACCAAAAATGCCATTTACAAGCATCAAATCAACAGCTTCGTAAGCCTCGTCCAGTGACATAGCTACAATAACTCCTTTTCCAGCAGCTAACCCATCAGCCTTGATGACAATAGGTGCTCCTTGCTCTTTAATATATTGTTTGGCAGCAGTTGGATCGGCAAATGTTTGATACTGCAGCAAGTTATCCAAAAATATATGACTAAGAAAAATACAAATCACACACAGATAGACCCCTGCAAAATAAAAAGAAATTAACAATATATTATAGCTTGGCAGCATGAACGTATCAATATACATCCTACTATCTTCTTCGACTTAATTCTTTGAGACTTGACAATTTAAGTCTAACATCCATTACTGACCTACGCCATTTGGAAAGAATGAATTCATCATGAAAATTGTTATATTCTGTAAGCAACTGAAGAGATCATTCAAAAAAATATCACATTTTAGTTGTTCATGAAACACTAGAGCAGAGGTCCCATTACTCCCATACATGACCTAAAGTCCATGACACTACGTCGTCCTAGAACGGGTAATTTCCAGCACTATCATCTCATATCAATGGAATTACTGATTCATACTTATATGATAAGAGTTTTTATCAAAGACTAAAATGGAGTTAACCACCAGATCAGACCAACAAAGTTCATAGAATATCACATTGAATTTGAAAGTAAAATCATGACCAACCTTGGCAGTGGGAATGTCATATTTGTAGCACAAGCTCTTCATGAAATCCTTGGAACCCTCTAGAGCAGCAGCCTCAGATGAAGGACCAAAAGTTGGGATACCAGCTTTGACAAGGTCGTTTGCAAGGCCAGAAACAAGGGGTGCCTCTGGTCCCACCACAACTAATCCAATAGCCTGTTTTTGGCAGAAAGAGATGACAGCTGAACTATCAGAGGAGTCAACATCTGAAAGGGAAATAGCATCCCCTGATTTTGAAATCCCAATGTTGCCAGGTGAACAAAAGACCTTGCTACATGATGGTGATCGTTGCAAGGCATGGCAAAGTGCATGCTCTCTTCCACCTCCTCCAATTACCAGCACATTCACCTTCTCCTCTACAATGACAATTAAAAAATCAGCAGGAAACAATATATGCAGTAATAACAGTGGTAGATTAGCTCAATATTAATGCACATCTATACAAAAAACAATATATGTAGTAGTAACATGTAACAGTGGAAGATTTGCTCAATATTAAAGCACATCTTTAAAAAAAAAAAAAAAAAAGAAAAAAAAACATTCATGCATGAATTATACTAATAGAATTAAATCACAAATTCTTACAATAAAATAGTTAAATGCATGCAAACATATTCCATACTTCACTAGAAGCAATAACAGTGTAAACTTAGTATAGAACATGTACATACCTCTTCAATCATACTCCTAATGTCAAGATACTATGCCCTCTTACATTACAAAGAAAAAGAACATAAGACTGGACCTTCCACCCATCAACTAATCTCGCAAGTAATACCGATATTAACAGTTTAATTTAATTCTAATTTTAAAAGCACTACCAATAACACAATAAAAACACATACATCTACTTCCCAAATACATGCCGAAATTCAGTCAATTACATAATAAAGCTCAGATAATCACAATAAAACTTGTGAAGAGAGTATACCTGCACTAATCTCTCCATTAGCTAAGCAAGTAACCACAAATGGGTGCAACCCACCAGCTTTCTTCGAACCCGTCATCGAAAAATCAAACCCATATACCTTACCATCTACTAAACCAAAGTGACCATTTCTACCATTATCAATATTTATATTGAAATTGAAATTAATTTTCTTCCCCATTGAAAATACTGATGAATTTGGTAGTCCAAAGGATGCCTTAAATGAATAATGCTTCATCTTTTGGCTGAAATACATAATCTTAGACCCTGAAACTTGATTCCATGAGTATGAACTACCACTATAAGTGGCAGGACCGTAAATTTGAGATGCCCATGAGGCCATTTTCGTCAACAATCCTTAACCTGAGAAAATGAAAAAGAATTAACAAATTTTTCACTCAAATTGCTGCATTGCCCACATTTGCCAGCATATTATCCAGAAACCCTACTTAAAAAAAATGAACTATTAACCATGAACTTAATTGTTTCGAAACCACATACTAGAAACTAATTAAAATCGACGAAATTCGAAAAACTGCTTTTAATTATTTTTACAAGTACTTGTACAAAATGAAAACTAAATAAACTGAACTTTTATTTTTGAGCCTTCAAAATCAAATATGACAACATAAAACATTTCTTCAAATTTGCAACGTCGCAGAAAAAGAGAGAATTTACCAGAGAGGGCGAGTGAAACAGAATAAGATTGGTCGGAATTTGGACGGAATCTTCGTCGGAAAAAGTTAGAATTTGGCCGGAATACTTTTCTCTCTATCTTTTTTTTGTTTTATTTTTGAGAGATGAGTTTTTTTTTTTTTTTTAAATCTAGAATAAAATGTTGCTTTATTTTATTGGACTGAACCCAACAATCTATATCATGGGCCGCATGTATTGGTTTCACTAATTTCGCAATTCAACCCAAAATCTGAAATATAATTTCAAAGTTTACCAATGATTATACGAAGTATAATATATAGTACTTGTAGTATATACTCCATCCGTTTTTAAATACTTGCTTTATTTTCTTATTTAGAAAGCTTTTACGAAGTATAATATTTAATTCATTTCTCTCAACTAGTGAACCCAATATAAATTATTTTATTAATTTCATATTCTCTCTCCTCCAATTCTCTCAACTACTTTTGTTTTATATTGTATAATTTTTTATTCTTCCACCTACCCCACTACCTTTATATTTTATTATTTTTTCCACTTTTTTTTAAAACTCTGCACATGGAGAAATGGAGCAAGTATTTAAAAACGAAGGGAGTAAATATTACTTGTAGATGAATAGATCAACTTTTTGTTCAACTTATCCAAAAAAAGTTTAAATATCAATAAGAGCTAATAAAGGTTACCTAAGTTCATTTTGTTAAAACTAATTAACGTAAATTCTAATATGTTCAGATAAGTTCAAGTTAGCTCCAATAAATTTATGAGTTCTAAAAAGTGCAAAATAGTATAGACAAAAACACATCAGGTACTCAGCCACTTGTTAGAAAGACGTGCAGCTTGATTGTCGAGGAGAAAGAAGGAAAAAAAAAAAGAAGGCAGCCAGGCTGTTCGATTTCAATGCACTCTTAACTTCTTCAAATAATTTATTATTAGTTACACTCGTCAACAACCATACCTAACAAATGTCATAAAGATTTAACTTTAAATCAATATTCTTATGTCTCTATTTCTCTTTCCTAATGTTTTGAAGCTTTCAATATATGGTCCAATGGTAAAAGTTTTTGTTTTGATTTGAATTTTGGTAAACCTAAAAGGGTCTATTAGCCAAATAATTCCAGGAAGCTTGATTAAGCAAATGATTATGGTCTAGACTTTCTAATTAAGGCTACATCTTACCAACCATGTGAAAATCAGTTCTATTTTCTGCAATTGATAGATACTTTTCATTTTTCACCCTTATTATTCGAATTTTTAAGGGCCCATTATAGATCTTTGAATTGACATTTACACCATACGTCCATACGTAATAATTCTTTCTTCTTCCTCCTCAAAAATAATTAATATCATGATTTATGTATTATCTCTTACAGTATGAACTTGGCAAATTACACTCCTAAACAACATTTGTGCAACTATGCTAGCTCCAAAACAAAAGAAAGTGAAGAACTACATATTTACATGTATTAAGTATTCAATTTCTGTATGAAACTACATACAATGCAAAATATACCCCGTTCGTTCTTATTTGAAGTACAGCGGTTTAACTAATACTACCTCCCTTTCATATTTTTTGCAACTTTGGGTACTATTTGTAGGATACAAAATATTTCAAAGTCGCAAAAATATAGAACGGAGGTAGCATAAAGTTTTAGTATAACGGATTTAATTAACGGATTAAAAAAATAAAAAAAATAAACTTTATGATTGGGATTTGTTTGAGAATATAACACATGCATGGACCGGAAAGTTATATATTTCTTACATTTTTTTTTATGATAAAAATAAAGTTGAGCATGTGAAAGACTAGTGCAAAAGTTAAATTGTGATATTGGGAGAATGAAAAAGGTAAAGGATTTGTTTGATTTTGTTCACCTGAATAAGGTGTTCTAGTCAAATTCAATAAAGTCTGATCTGTATTTTATGGTTTGGTTGACCGATGATATACTAATTTGAATAAACTTTGATTGTAGGCTAAGATTAACATATAATCTCAATGTCTTTTTCAAATATGTAATTTTGATAATTTTCATCAATATGCAATTAAGGCTATTATATCACTAATAAATAAAACCGGTCTCGCAGCCAGGCCACGAGACAACGACACTTGGCATTCTAATTTTTCGCCCAAAGGTCGCGCCACATAGGAGATAAATAAGTATTATTGTGAAACATATGATACCAAGCAAGCGATTATTGTATATATTTTTTAAGATAAAATTATTGTATAGAGTTTTATTATCGATAAAATTCTAATATTTCATATATACAAAATTAATCATAACTTTAAATAAATATAACTCAATTCTATTTCCATCATCAAATTCGTTTTTAAAATTCTTTAAAATAAGATCCATTTATAATAGTACATTTGATCACAAACTTTTATACGTTGCTAGCCAAACCATATCACCAACATTTACAAGCGTTATTTCGTTACTGCTATAGGGTTTACTTGGTCAGTGTTATAGTGGTTACTCAATCAGTGTTATAGATAGAGGTTACTTAGTTAGTATTACAGGGGTTATTCAGTCATTTTTATAGGAGTTACTTTGATGGTGTGGTTAGCCGCATACAAAATGCATTGTTATTTAATTTCTTTAAAAATATTTAAAGAATCAGTAAAATTAAGTTTTAAATAGTAAAAATATTTTTAGCTTGGTAAAAATACTTTAAGTTCAGTGAAAATAATTTCAAGTCAATAATAACATAAGTATCTATTTAAAAACAAAACTATAAAAAGTACACTATTATATAAATATAAGCCATATAATATCGTATCTCTAAATATCTTACACTATCAGAACAAATTATTTGACCGAATTTAACATTCAAGTAAAATGTTATCTTAAAATTTTATCAACCATCTAGACATTATTAGGACACAAAACTAGTATGATCTAAACAAAAACTAAAAGTTAAGTTATGAATATTTTAAATATAATTTTGATAGGGTCTAAAGCCGATAAGAGCAATACTCGAGTGATAAGTTTCTAAAAATAAATTTAAGAGAACAGTTCCAATAATAGTTAAAGTTTATGAATTTTGATATTGAAATTAATTATGAAGGGATCCTCCACTTGATTATCACCTTCATTCACTTTTAGAGATCATGATAAACCCTTCAATCTTTCAACTCTAATCAAGAAAGAGGCTTACACACTCTCATAGCTAGGAAGCCTATGTTGGAGAAACTCCAGATTATAACAACAGTACAATATCAAAAAAATATTAATAAATCCAAAAATAGAGGATTTAATTAATTTACCACCTCTGTTTCATATTAGTTGTAAATTTGGAATATTTTATATCTCACAAATAATACTCTAAATAAAGTTATAACTAATATTAAACAGAGGTAGTATTTCAAATGAAGGAAATCTATATACAGTAGATATAGTTATTATTGATTTTAAATTGGTGGTTAGGAAATCATTTCAAATTAAAGCATAACTATACTAGCTAGGGATATTATTTTAGAAGAGGAATACTACCAGAAGTTGATGATGTGACTAATTGTTTTAATATATATAATGCTATGGTAGGTTTCACTTATATAATTAACTAATTAAACAACATATCTTTAGTCCTATGATTATAGGCCTAAGCAGACAATTAATCAACTATGATTAAGACGTTTTAAAACACTTAATATAATTGCTACCATTAATCGACGCGTGTAGCAAAGTTTGGTAGTTTCCTTAAGCTTGTTTGCCACCTGGAGACATACTATTCACTTACAGCCCTACCAAACCATATTAGTACTAGTACAATAATACGAGTAATAATAATAATAATAATAATAATAATAATAATAATAATAATAATAATAATAATAATATATACTCCTCTCGAAACTTGAAAGATGAAGAAAAGAAACGCCGGGTAATAAACTCATCAATCAAGCTTACAAAATGGTTATTTTTTCTATTTTACGTCAATATAAGCTAGGTAACTCGAATATAAATACCAAAGATGTTTTGAACACCAGATAATTAGCCTAGATTTGTACACAATAGTCGTTATAAAGCATTAAAACCATACCTCGTCTTTAATTGTGATGAACAAAGACCGTACACGTATGTAACATTTAATCAAAGATGAAGGGAGTATAACAGAAATATATTTCCATTGCAAAGCTTTTTTGAGGCGAACACTCCTGTATTATTATACCGTTTAAATTTGCACCTACGACTAGGGATGTCAATGGGGTGGGGCGGACCAGATGTTGGTCTTCCCAACATCATCCCCGCGGCGGGTATAAAATTCATCCTCATCCCCGTCTCAACAGGTACAATTTCAAAACCATCCCCGCCCCAACCCCCACTTGGATATCCACCCTCACCTAATCCCCACTTAAGGCCCGCCTAATCCCCGCCTCCCAAATACACAATGCTTCATAATTAATAAATTAAAGACTGCAAAAAGAAAAAAATTATTATTGATATTACACATTTTTTTATTTATAATTCATACACCTCCACCACTTCTTTTTCTTTCCTTTTTTTTTTTTTTTTTCTCTTTTAAAGATTGCTCTCGCTTTTCTCTCTCGAAAAACCTTAAAACAAATAAAATCAACCGGCAAATTAAGGATATTTGTGAGAGAAAAAAGAGAATAAACCTACTTAACCAAATCTCAAAAAAGAAACAAATAATTCCTTGAAAAATAAGGGGATTTTTTAACCCTCTTCCATTTTCATTTCCATCCTTCTAGCCACCTAATAGTATGATGAATTGTTTTTTGCTGGAGGACAGCCGTTACGTTGTTACTAGGCATCCTTCCTTAGATCAATCACGACAACACTTACGTTATCGGTGCTGTGCCTTGCTAGAGCCAACTTCGTAAGCAACATTGAAGCATCCGTACATGCTTTATCCGCCATTGCTTCACCAACACCAGTGATCTGTTCAACTTCCGGGGTTAATGTCGCTGGTGGCACCTTGCCTCTTAAGCACATCCTTGCCACCCCACACGCGGTGTCGTTTGATACTACATCCCACAGCCCATCACTTGCTAATATTAGACAGTCATCATCTACTGTTCGATCCATTATTGTGACCTCTGGCTCACAGCTCACGTACGGCTTCAAATAGTTATCCCCTACAACACAAATGTAATACATTCTTAGCAAACAAAATTAACAATGTGGTACATGAACGATTCAACGGTCCAAACTTATTTAAAGTCAATATTCCTAACAAGTTATAACCTAATTCCGGAGGACATCAATCTAATACCATTTTCTTGACGGGAATTCCAATAAATATTAATTAATCATTCAATATACTAGTATTTTTTTTTAAACTTCTAATTAACCTAGAAGTAGTTAGGTTAATACTCTTAATAGCATATGTAGTACGAAGTATTAAAATAAAACTTATACTTTCCAAAAATAGGAAATTAAATAATTTAACATAAATATAATTATTATTTATTGAATATTTTTGATAGAACTATTACTACTTTTGGCAGAAAATTCTTACCTTATCATTTTAACCCCTCATAAATCCCTCATAAATATATAGGGCCGCTAAATAATTACACTAAAATACCCAATATGGACTATTATTATAATAAAAATCACTCTCACACACTCGTGTACTTCTTTCTTTCGTACTGATCATTGATCTACCTTATACTTTGTATGATCTGATCTAAACCTTGGCATTATAAGAAAACCATATCTACATCACAAAAGATTTACAAAACATCCTAAAAAAAAACTATGCGTGCTTTGTACGGAGCATACGTGACTATTATTTCCGAACAAAAGATATACATAAACCGGAACTTGAAACGGGTTAAAGGAAATATATCCAAATTCACGAGGAAAACTTTTGATAGCCTCTCTGAACCTCGATCATGTATCACGTGAGCTAAAAAATACTGCTCTATTTTTCACAGTTTTTCACTCTATTTCAAATTATTAAAAAAAAAATAATTAAAATTATTTTTCAAAAAAAAGGTGTAACAAAAATGAAACTCTTACCAATGGCTCTAGACATAGCGAGCACTCCAAGAACCCGAGCTCCATCCCAAAAAATCACCCGACCGCCAGCTTCTTCGATCCGGTTCAACTCATCCGGCCGATCCGGCTGCTAAAATTAATTATAACGTAAATTCTTTTTCCTTTTAATTTTTTTTAAAAAAATTATATAAAACTGAGAGAAAGTAACCACCAAAAAAAAAAAGGTAACGCATGAAAGTGACGGACCTTGTGGTCGTCGGAAAGAGGGAAGGATTTGCCGTTACGACAAAGAACAGCCCTAGAATCACCACAATTAGCGACGATAATTTTTTCCGGCGTAACAATGGCGACGACTGCGGTAGATCCCACGGCGTCGCATTCAGGAGTCTGTAATTCACACCTACAATTACCGATTACTCCATCATTCCATGCGATCGCTTCTTTATCCATTCTACTGAAACTTCTCTCCATTGCTAACTTCCATTCTGGCACCGCCACTAACTCCTCCTTCACTAGCTCGTGCAGTCTCTCTCTACACCTCATCGCCACCTGTCAATTAATAAAATTAAAATTAATCATTATTATTTTTGTAATTTAAATTATTTTTTTCAAAAAAAAGAGAAAAAATGGATGATGACGTACGTGAGAGCAGCCATGGCCGTCGTAAACGCCGAAGTAATGCAATTCCGAGGAGGAGATATCGGAATCGGAGCAATTTTCTAATCGGAAAAAAGAAGGATGAACAGCGACAGCATCTTCCATATCTCGACGGCGTCCACAAACAGAAGCGACGCCAAATTTGGGAACAAAATTCTGAATATTAAAAATGGACGATTCATAAAACGACGTCGTCGAAGTTTCATCTTCTTCTTCAGACGATTTATTATTATCAGTACTAGAACTAATCATATCTCTAACATGATCGTTAGAAACGACGCTAGTTTCAACAGCGTTAGAAGTGCATTCTCTGGGAAACGAGGACGACGCGAAATCCATCCTTTGACGCTTAGTTCCGTCGATAATATCAGAGTCATCGTCTGTGATAGGATTATTATTGGAAGAAATTCCATCGACGAATTTAAACCGTCTGATTTTTATCCTACGTCTTCTAGCAGCTCGTGAAGAGGTGGATTCACATACGCTTGAAAGTACTGGATTGTGAGTATTATCTCCTTCACTTAATACTACTCCGCAACAAATTTCTGCCATTGATGAAGATTTTCGAATCAACTGATGCTAAAATTCAAATTTAAAGATAACAAAAATAGAAAGAGAATTAAGAAATGATGTATTCTTGTTTTTGTTGTTGTTGTAAAGAAGTTGAGTATTCGAGTGAGAGTAGTACTTGTGTTATGTTGCGTTGTTTACTCTCTTTTCTCTCTCCTAATAGGGTGGGTACCGCTTGCTAATTTTACGTAGAAACCCAAGAAGTAGTAGGAGGATATTTTTATTTTTCTTTTAAATTATTATTATTATGGTGACGGGCAGGTGACCGTAAGGTGGTGGTGAAAAGCATACGTGGCAAAGCGCGAAAAAGAGAGGAAAGGAAGATCTGGACCGTTGGATGAGTCGCTCTCTGGTAATGGAAAAAACGACCACGTGTGATGGCGGGGTGGGGGTGTACTGGTAAATTAAAAACACATAAGTGCGTGGACCAATCAGAGATAAACAACAATAGTGAAGGTGGGACCTTCCTCTCTGACACGATCATGTTTGTGGACCAATTTTATGTTACGATTTACAAAACTCGCTGCTGACTCAGTGAGTGTTTAAGCGAGTCAGTGAGCGAGTGAACTCGGGACTCGGGAGAGGAGGAAATTGCGAAAGAAGCTAAGCGGTGTTTTCAAATCAAATCAAATGTAAATTCAGTTGGGTATTGAAGGAGTAGAACACGTATCACTGTCGTTTAATTTATGAAACATGTGGAAACTGTTACACGTTGTTTAGTGTACTGCTGCTACTACGTTCTTCTTTTTTCCGCTATTTCGGAAAATGCTGCTCCTTTTTATCAAAAAATAAATAAATATTCAATGTTTTATTTTATTATACTACGTACATGGAGTCATCGACCATGGAAACTTGGTTGATTGAAAATTTGGTATGGTTCCTCAACTACACTAACTAGTAACTACATAAGTACATTTACATCCATAGCAATTTCAAAAGAGTTTGATTAGTTTTGGATATATATCAAGGGAATATGTGTCTGTTAACTTTATTAATTGCTAACTAACTTTAGTTTTAGAATATAGATTACAATTTTTTTAGCATAATAGTGTATAATCAAAGTAAATGATCAATGAATTTGTCATTAAAAAAAAAACCTCTTGTAGGTAGACTCATATCAAGATTTACTCGATATACTTGTTCAATTTACAATTAACTTCCTTTCCCATCCACTAAATTTATCCGCTTTTTTCACTGTCAACAAATACTTTACTTCAAGAAAGACTCTAAAAAACTTTAAGAATGAGTAGTACATACTTCATCTGCTGTTAAATGATTACAAGTTTTAAATTTCGCAACTTTGACCATATTTTTCTTTTCCGCTGTACATATAAAAATTTGTTTATGTAAAATTGGTTAATTTCATTAGGACAGTGTCATTACAAAAATAGTTACTTGTAAGGCAACATTAAATAATAAAATATTAAACAATTAAATAATTTTAACGTTTTTTAATACTTACAACACTTTCTTAATATGAGGCCTTGTTTGGTTGACATGGGAATTAAATTCCCATAGGAAATTGCATTTTATGGGAAGTTATTTCCCTAATAAAATTCTTAGGAATTTCCTAAATTTGTTTGGTTGGGAATGTGGGAATTTAGAAATCCCATGAATTTTGATTGACCTAGGGGGCCAAGGTAATTTACTTCACTTGTTTTGTGGGAAGTTGACATTTCCATGAATTTTCACTTCTCTCATTTTTGTTTTTTTGTGTCAACCAAACAACTTCTCATTTTATCAAATCCAATGAATTTCTACTTCCCCCATTTTATGTTGTCAACCAAACAAGCCCTGAAAATGTCATAATACTTGAAACACTCTATAATTGAAAAAGGTTAACTTTTATTTTCAGTTGTACTATTACTTATCCTCACTTAGAAAAGCATATGAACCACTTATTTCTTAAGTTTTAATAATCTCTTAACTTTATTTTAAATGCATTAAATCACTGATATCTAATTTTCTTAAATACTGTAAACGGTATTAAAAACATAGAGAAAATAATATTCGGATATAGAAATGTAGAATTGTGAATAATACGGGGTAGAGGCATAAAAACCAACTCCTACTGAAAAGGAAATTGGAATTGAAGCTATCAAAGATTGAAGGGAGTTGGAACAAATAGAAGCAATGACACTTCTTCTAAAAAGGAAGGAAGAGGGAGTATAGGTTTGTTGGGGTTATATGTTAATGTCTGTTTGGTGGGGTACGATGATGAAGCTTAGGTGTGCATGTGGTCCAATTACACTACTCTACGTAGCATGTTTTTTTTGGGCCCACTGAAATGGGTCCCACTTCTTCTTCATTTTTTTTTCTCGTCACACTCATACGACACTAGAATGAATATGATTATCTGCATCCTTTTATGATTTTTCCGTCCCTGTGTCCTCAACTCCCTCGCCACGTGGTTGATTCAACCTTGGAAGCTATGGAATGACACGATCTTTTATAAACACAACATTAATTACTATGATTATGATTATACTGCTAATTTTATTTTTCTTAAAGTAATGCTATGGTAATTAAAGCTTTAATACTTGTAGTACGTAGACACGTAGTATAAGCTTTAAAGGGATACTCGCCTACCCCTAACCTCTTATTAACCCTTTTATTACCTTCCCTCCGTCCCATAATACTTGGAACGTTGGGGTGTACACGTAGTTTAAGAAAATTAAAAGTGGATCCACTTAAAATATTTATTTATTATATAAAAGATTCTCTTTTATATTTTTATATTGTTAGAAAATAAAAAGTGAGGGAGATGGGGGTAGTGAGGAGAGAGAAAATGTAGGATTTAATTGAGTTTTGGGGTTCGTGGTCCCAAAGAGAGTATAGGAAAACATTATTTTATTAGTGGTTCCATTTTATATTTAGTAACATGTTAAGTATTTTAGATTGGACGAAAATGGTAATCATGTCAAGTATTATGGGACAGAGGGACTAATATCTTTATTTTGATTGAATTTAGTAGCCACGTATACTTTTGAACGCTTTCTAAGTCTCTAAATGTTTATCTTATCTAATATTATTGTAACGATAATATTGTTACAATTTATTTGAATTAGGAGTATATGAATAATAATGCACTTCCTCCGTCCCATAATATAGTTCCCGTTTTTCTATTTTAGAGACTCAAAATGTTGTTCCTGGTTTTATTTTTGGATGTTTGTAAAAACCATTATACCCTCATTTTTGTAACTTTATTCATTGAACTTCTTAATTTACCCTTAAATTATCCACTTGTAAAGGTGGGCAGCAGGCCGGGTCGTGCTGTGCCTCCATTTCCACCAGGCCAGCCCACGCCACGGCGCGTTCTTCGGTTTTTTTAATATAATTAAAAATGGAGGATTGAAGGTTGAAGAAGGTAGGAAGAATGGAGAGTGAAAAATATCGGGGTGAGAGAGAGGGAAATCGAGAGAATAGAAGAAAAAAAAAAGGAAGGAAATAAAATAAAATAAAAAAGTAGGGCCCACTGTCGGAACTTCACCGGAATTTAAATAGGTAGTAATCTGAGTGATTATTTAATTTAAGGGGTGGTAATTTAAAATAAAAAATTAAATGGGTGGTTAGTTTAAAACATGTACATTTTTTGCTGGTAATTTACAAATTATCCTTATAAATAACATGATGAAGATTTATATGTATATCATAAGAGTATGGAATACAAGAATATTATTTATATCCTTAGAAATTAAATTTTGGAATCACTCAGTAATTAAGGTTTATGATTGAGTTCTTGGTAATTATTTCTAACTCGGATCCTACATTGCTCTACTCTACCAAAGCTTGTAACCAAGTTAGTACTCCGAGTGTCATGTCTGATCTAATGTTGTTTCAATCATGAGAAAGTGTACGCCTAAACATAAAAGTTATTTCATTAAAATTGGTTTATCAGTGAATATTGCTATATAAAAGACTTTATATTGTTAGACAAATAATGGAATAACTCAACCAGCTGGCCAATTCAACAGTCTATAAAATAAGTGACCTAACGATTTACCAAACTTGCACAATTTCTTACCTTCTATAACACGTCCCTTCTTGTAGTCTACTCAAGTAAAAGTTTGATCTTCCCTCAAAAAAAAAAAAAAAAAAAAGGTTCGATCTCATCTTAAAATGTAATGAGCAATTAAATTCCCAATTAAGAAACTTACTAAATCAGAACCAACGACAACACAATCAAGCAAACAATAAAAAAGTATTCCCAAAAAATTTAATACATATATACTCCCTCCGATTTTTTTTCATTGCAACTTTTGTCATTTTAGTCCGCTTAAAATTATGTGCAACTTTCTATTTTATTTCTATTTTGGGTAAACAAAATCCCTAAAAATTACTATTTTATCCTTACTTTCCCACTACTTTCCCAAGTGGTGGGCCAAACTTTCTCTCTCCACACACTTTAATCACCTTTAATTAACCCTTAACTTTTGCCTCGTGAACCGCAAATCACACCAAAGTTACAATTAAAAAAACCCGGAGGGAGTAACTCCTCTGATCCTCTCTTACACTTGTATGTACTCCGTACTATCTTAAAATAATATTTTATTTAATTTTATTTTATTTATGAGAATTATAACACATACTGAAGAACGATATTCTCAATCCTTGTTTTTAAGACGTTTTCAAAATAACATACTCAGTACTTTGTGTTATTTGTTAACTATCAGGGTATTTTTTTATTTTGCTTTTTTTATTTCAATTAGTAAGAGACTAGTTTTAAGTCCGGTGCAATATACGGTTTTTATTAATGTTACAATAAATTATATAATGTTAATTCAACAATAGTTTACAGTAAACTAAATTAATTTTTTAAGTGAAGCACGATAAATTGATTTTAATACTTATACCAAAGAATGAAGGGTAACTATTGCATTAAGCCGATTCACTCTATGAAAAATTAAAAGAAATTTAAAAACTATAGGGCTCTATTTAATAAAGAGAAACACATGTGTGATGTAGTGATATACACACATATATATCTCCATCCATATTTTATTCACACACTTTAACAAATACGGAGTAAAATACTTTATTAATTAATTAAGAATACAATTTTTTCTTACATTTGTTGGAAATATAATGGTGGGAAATTTTTGCACCAAATTTAAATTTTGACATATGCTACTTATATATATATTTTTCGACACATGCTATTATTGATTTGCCTTTTAAGAATAGATAATTATTGTATATACAATAATACATAATATACATTACCAAAGTGAGTTTCTCATTTATTGAAATAAAATGCATTGCCCAAAATCCAAATATTGATGTCAGAGCAATTAAAAGATAGAATAATGATAATAATACAAAAATATTGAGTAATAATATTATTCTAAAAATATATTGCCTTATCTATGTTCATTTAATTCTAGAACACCTACTTGTAAATTAAATATATTTTTTTGAAAGAATATATTGTAAATATATCAAGTCATTTTTTTCTTTATATACTTGAGTGTATATGGAAGCCAATATAACTGTAAAAATGCAAGGGAAAAATTTTAAGTTGTGTAATAATTAATGAAGATTTGACCAAAAAAAAAAAAATAAAGGGAAAATTTTCAACCAGAAGATGACATGTGTCACTTCTGGTTTTGCTTTTAGTATATAGTTATGGATTGATTTGAGGTATTTCCATATTAATGTACGCTTATAAGATTTTGAAGATATATCTCATAGGTTTAATGTCATGTCATAAAAGTGTAGTTATTAGAGATAATGTCAAGAATATCTCTTGATTATCTCCTTAATAACCTCCATCATAAATGCTTATAATATCTTTGACTAGCAAGGATACATACTTTATAATATTACACTCTTATCAAACTTCATTATGGTATATATGATAACTATAATGAAATACAAAAGAAACACCGTATCGTATGTATGAAATTCATACATATTGATAATCAAAATAAATCAAAAGTGAATGATTTAGTGATATAGACATATATAGTCCATAAAATACAATAATAGAAACGTAAAAAAAAACTCGAAATTAAAGGAGCAAGATACTAGCTTGTCAAACTTTATTTATTTATTTTTCGACCAGAGCTTGTCAAACTTTATTTTATGCATCATAAATGTATAAATAGTGTATCAATGACACAACATATGAAATATCAACGAAGAATATATGCGCTGTAAATTTAATTGAACAAGATTTAATGGCATGAACATTACCGAGTACTTCTCTTTGATTATTCAACAACAACAACTACAACAAGATTGACAAACGGGCTTGGGTCGCACCCGTCACGAGTGTTCACTTTATACGATCAAGGAGGTTCAACTTTAAAATCATATGGCAATGAGAGGAGTAACCCAACAACACTTTTCCTCACATGTGAGTTTGTTTATGGGCTCAACACTCCCTTCACATGTGGGTTGTCCATAATATTAGCCCAGATCACAACACAAACCCAACTTGGCTCTGATACCATGACTAACGGATTTGGGCCACACCCATAATGAGTGTTCATTTTATACAACCAAGAACGTTCTATCTCAAAATTATATGGCAATAAGGAAAAAAGTTCCACAAAACTTTCACTCACGTGTGAATTTGTTCATGGGCTCAACAAAGAACAAAGTTTTGGAACTGATGATGCATGTATGTAGGAGTATAGACCGTTATTGAATGAGCTAGTTTCGGTTTTACTACGTACTCGATCTTAGTATAACTTTTGCACTGGAAATAGACCTCCTTATCTCCACGTGTTGACTTGTTAATTTTACATGGCACACACCTATATATACTTGCACCATTTGTAAATTTCAAGCTTAACCTTTTCACACTTGAGAATTTATTTACTAGACAAATAGTTTTGTTACAACAATTATGAAAATTAATAATATCAATTGCCGATAATGTATGTTATCTCTAAATATCAGTCATATAATCGGAACTCCTTGTTAAAATCATCACTTTATAACAGCCGTACAAGTTTCTCACTGACTCTATCCATAAGTTAATAACGAAATCTTAGGAAAAAAATGATAATGATAGATTCACTAATAATGAATTGTTTCCTTGTAAATATAACGTGACAATATTTTGATATAAATTTATTGGCCATTTAATGGCCACTGTATTAGATTAAATTACAGCGGTCTATTTATTTTAACTAATATAAACCGTCGATAAAGGTAATTTTGGATTTTTATGTTAGAAAACGTTGAAAAAAAAGCCTTAAAAAATCAATCACGTTCTAAACTTCTAACCCACTACCAATTCAGTTTTCTATTCACAAAGTAGTTTAGTTTTTTTTTTTTTTTTTTTTTTTTTTTTTTTTTTTTTTTTTTTTTTTCCTGCTATCGATTTGCTGCTTCAATCTAATTCTAATGGACCTGCCATGATGTTCTTGTGATTAGTGCAAATTTGTAATTGTCAATTTGTCAGTGTTTGTGAGAAAAAAAAAAGGTATTACTAGTATTTAAGATTGTCTAATGGACCTCCAAACACGGAGGCAATGGGATATTGAACTTTAATGGTGAAGCATGTAATGGAGATGATGGAAAAACTGATAGTTTTAATAGAATGATCATGGGTATGCTGATATACACATTATAATTGTTGTCAACCCTTCTTTCTTTACTCACATTACAAATAGGATGAGAATTTTTTTTTGAGGGAAACGGTTAGTGCAATTATATTAAAGAAAGATTGTCCAAAAGTACATACGAAGAAATCTCATTTGGGACGAGATATTCCCACAATTGTTCACGATCAATAGGCACTAACCTAGCTAGGTGATGGGCAACAAAATTCCCATCCCTTTTAACATGGGACCAACATATGGAAGAAAAACTCGAACTTACAGATATGATATCTTCTTGTATGCCATCAACAATAGCAAAAGAGAAAGATTCCTTCTTCAACTTTGTAACGAGGACCAAAGAGTCAGCTTCAAGGATAACATCCGTTAAGCCCTGGTCCTGGCCTTCTTCAATCCAAACCAAGCTGCCTTACTCTCTGCTATCAACGGCTCCCATCGAGCTCTAAACCTGCTAACTGCCGAGAATATGACATGGCCTCTGCTCTCCCGAGCTATAGCACCCAGCCTTACCTACCCAGCCATCCTCTGAAATTGCAGCGTCTACATTGATTTTCACCACACCGAAAGGGGGAGGCAGCCATACCGCTCTCCCACTGGGCTCTCTAGGAGGAGTAGTGCCCCCGTAAATTCTTTCAGAATACTCCCCAAAATCAGTCACCAACCTACTGTGTCTAAGTAGGATGCATTCATTCGAATCCCACTCATTTTCAAATACCCATTTGTTTCGTCGGAACCAAATAAACCAAGTGAGAAAGAGGCTTTTCTGATACATCACTTCTGACAGATTTCGAGCCCAGCTAAGCAGTGTGTCCCCAAATGAATCATGTGAAACTAGAGGGATACCTTCTTGTCAGCCGCTACGCATCCTTAGAGAACGCGTACTGGGGCATAACACCACAGCGTGGGAAGCTGTTTTTGGTTCAGTCTCGCAGCAGGGACATAAAGGATCATTGGTAATATGTCTGTGGGTCAGTAAGCTACGGATTGGCAGGGAATTTGAGCAACATTTCCAGAGAAAATGGAGAACCTTCGGGGTGGCCTTCGCTTTCCAGATTTCAACCCAATAGCGTTCGAAGTCATCAAGGGCTAGGGACTTACCCAAGATGTAGGCTGTTTTCACGCTATACAGGCCATCCTTTGACCATGCCCAAGTGAGAGTATCCTCTGGACTTCGTTCACTGATTGGGATGGCAAGGATGGCTTGCTTATCCCTATCATTAAACATACTCTCCACCTTACTCACATCCCAACCACAACCATCTAATTCCATCAACTCATTCACAGTTGAAGCCATGTTCGTCTGATTATCGCTCGTGGCGAATCTACTCATATCATCAATGAGCCACGGGTTATTCCAGATGTTGATCCTACGACCATTGCCAACTCTCCACAACATACCTTCATTGACGAGAGCCTTTGAGCCCCATAAACTCTGCCATGAATAGCTTGAAATCGGTCCTAGAGCAGCCTCGAATATAGAAGTTCTCGGGTAATATTTGGCTTTGAGAATACGACTAAAAAGAGAGTGTTCATTCGTTGCAAGACGCCATAATTGTTTCCCGAGAAGAGCTTCGTTGAAAATTCCTAAATCTCTGAACCCCATTCCTCCTAGACACTTCGGTTGACATAACGAGTCCCAACTCTTCCAATGAATCTTCTTACCTTTTTCATTCGACCCCCACCAGAATCGAGCCATCATCGCATGAATTTCTCTAATCAAGCTACTCGGAAATTTATACATCCCCATGAGGTATGTTGGGATGGCTTGGATGACTGACTTGAGTAGGATCTCCTTTCCCGCTCTAGATAAGAGTTTCTCTTTCCAACCTTGAATCTTCTTCAATATTCGATCCTTCACAGAAGCAAACACTGTTTTCTTTGATCTCCCTATGATAGTTGGCAAGCCAAGATACTTGATATGATTATCCACCATTTCCATACCAAGAATAGAGCTAAAAGTGATCTGAGATGGTAATTGAACTCCTCTACTGAAAGATACCTCCGACTTTTCCAGATTAATTTTTTGCCCGGAAGTTGCTTCATATTTGTTGAGAATATCAACAATGATTGAACATTCCTGTCGAGTAGCTCTAGTAAAAAGAAGACTATCATCTGCAAAAAACAAATGAGTAATCTCCGAGCCATTTCTACTAGCCCGAGCTCCATGGATCAATTTCTTCTCCGATGCCACCTGTAACATTCTGGACAATACATCAGCAACCAGAATGAAAATATAGGGGGAAATAGGGTCTCCCTGACAGAGCCCTCTAGAAGGAGTCAATGGGTCCGAAGGGATGCCGTTAATAATGAAGGAGTATCGAACTGTAGTCACAAAAGCCATGATAGTATCAACCCAAGCTCCAGCAAACCCCAATTTGGTCAAAAGTCTTCTTAGGAAATCCCACTCCACTTTGTCGTAAGCTTTGCTCATATCCAATTTCATCGCAATCGACCCACGACGACCCTTAGATCTCTTCTTCATAGTGTGGAAAAGTTCAAGGGCAATCAATGCATTGTCTGTGATAAGACGTTTAGGAACAAAGGCACTCTAGTTCTCAGTCACCATATTGTGAAGAAGCGGTTTTAGTTTGTTAGCCATCGATTTGGAAGCTAACTTGTACAACACATTGCATAGGGAAATAGGCCGGAATTGGGAAATACAATTAGGGTCATTAACCTTCGGGATGAGCGCAACATTTGTCTGATTAATCATATAAGGGAAAATTCTACCAGAAATAATGTTATAAACAAACATCGTTACATCATCACCTACAATATGAAAAAATTGCATGCAACCCATCCGGTCCAGGGGTCTTACAAGGACTCATTTGAGAAAGAGCAGCAAATATTTCAGCTTCGGAGTAAGCACGGCATAAAGATAAATTCATACCTTCCGTCACAAGTGTCGGAACACAATTGAGGACCTCTTCCGTCAAAGTATCATCCGTGGCTCCTTTGGCAAAAAGTGACCCATAGAAGTCGAGGATGATTTTCTCAATATCTTTATTCCCTGTAAGCCGCACCCCATCAGTGTTCATGAGCCCTTTTATATAATTTTTACTTCGTCGTTGAGCAGCCATGTGGTGGAAATATTTGGTGTTTCTATCCCCATCTTTGATTTCGAACACTCTCGAACAGAGGAACCAATATGCTTCGTTTTTATCATGAAGATCATTGAGAATCCCTTCGAGTCTATCAGACTCTTCGAAGTTTGCCTGGCAGCCCACGTTTCTCTTAGCCTCCTTCAAGACCTCTTCAATCTCAGCAATCTTCTCCCCTAGATCTTCGAAGGCATCCTTACTCCACAAGGTCAGCCCATGAGCAACACTTTGCAACTTGCCTGGCATGTCAAGATTGCAGGAGTCTGCCCAGGCCTTACGAATCACTTCCTCAATCCCTTCAGTCATCATCCAACAGGTCTCAAATCGAAACCTTTTTTTTTTCTTTTTCTTCCTCTTCTTACTCACCCTAGCCTCCGTATCTAGGAAAATTCCTACGTGGTCCGATTTAAACTTGGTTAAGTGGGCTACGTGAGCCTGAGATAACCAAGCACACCAATGAGCACAAGCCACAAATCTGTCCAGCCGCTCCCTCACAAAGCCGTCTTGAACATTCCCACGTTCCCATGTTACCCATGATCCTTCGTATCCAAGGTCTTTTAGGGAGCACTCATCACACTACAAGAAAAAGGCCAGATTCCGACGGACGTTTTCCGACGGACACCAAATTCCATCGAAAATCCTGCATATTCCGGCGGATTTATATTCCGTCGGAAATTTCCGACGGATTTCCTACGGAATAAAAATCCGTCGGAAATTATGGGCTTTCCGACGGAATATTTCGTCGGAAAATTAATATTCCGACGGAATATTCCGTCGAAACGCTAACTTTTCGACAGAATTAAAATCCGTCGAAAATTTCCAACGGAATATTTCGTCGGAACAATAAGTTTCCGATGGAATATTCCGTCGGAATCTTATTTAAAAAAAAAACAACTAAACCCTAATAAGTTTCCACCGCCACTTCCCCTTTCTCCTCTCCTCTTCTCTTCTCTTTCCTCTTCCTCTGAATTCCTCTTCTCTTCTCTCCCCCTTCTCTCTCTTCCGCCCGCTCTTTCTCTCTCTTCTCCTTCTCCTTCCTTCTCCTCCCTTCTCCTCTTTTCTCGTGGATTCTCCCTATCATGTCTCCTCTCGCTCGTCTCCTTGCGCAACCGGACCACCACCATCGCCGAATCTTCTTCCTTGCGCAACCGCCTCTACTAGCCACCATGGGGTGTATTTTGTTTATTTTTAAGGTTTTTTAGGCCAAATTCGACCATTAAAAGCCTAGATCTAGACTTTTAATGGCCGAATTTGGCCTTGTTAACCCGTTTTCGTCGATTTCATGGCCGAATAAGGTATGTTTTATTATTTTTTTTGTCGATTTCGGTTTTTTTTTTCTTTTTTTTTTTTTTTTTTAGATTTTTGGGTGTAACGTTGTTGTGTGTGCGTGTGTGTTGTGTGGGTGGAGATTTTTGAAGGTGGTGGGTGTTTTTGGTGGTTTTGTGAGTTTGGGTGGTAGATCTTTGGTTTTTGGTGGCGATTTTTGGTTTTTTTTGGATGATTTTGGGTTTGGGTGGGTGGATTAAGTGTGGGTTGTGGGTGGGTAGGGGGCGTAGGTGTAGCGTGGGTGGGTAGGGGGGTAGTCAGTAGGGGGGTGGGGGTGGGCTGGTGGTGGCGTGGGTTGGTGGGAAGTCAGGGGGGTGGTCTGGTGGTGGTGTGGGTGGGAAGGGGTGGCGCTGGTGGTGGGTGTGGGGTGGGGGGTGGTCTGGGCAGGGGTGGGGGGGCTGGTCTGGGCAGGGGTGGGGGGGCTGGTCTGGCAGGGTAGGGGGAGGGACTGGTCTGGGCAGGGGTGGGGGGGCTGGTTTTTTTTTTATTTTTTTTAATTGACTTTTCCGACGGAAAATTCCGTCGGAAGCTAATCCACCTCTGATGGAATTTTCCGTCGGAAAATTGCGACGGAATTTTAATTAAAGTCAAAATCGGCGCCGACAGAATTAGATCCGACGGAAATTCCGTCAGAAGAGGAATTTCTGTCGAAAAAGGCCGAATTTCCGACAAGGGGTGCTCCGACAGACTACTTCCGACGGAAAGCTTGATTCCGACGGAATTTCCTATGTTTCCGACGGGAAAATTCCGTCGGAATCCTGCTATTTTCTTGTAGTGTCAAGAAGCTCTCTAAACCGTCCATAGCTCGTTGTTCCCTCAACACCCCACCAACCTTTTCCTAAGAACTGAGGATTTCATTAAAGTCTCCCCCAAACACTGTAGGATAAGGCGAATCCAGGTAAAGGTCAGGCATAAGAGTCCAGGTATGAAACTTCAAAGACTTGTCGGCCCACCCATAGACTCCAATGAATCTCCAAATTCGTCCTCTTGCTTATGTGATATCACCACAAATATGGTGGTCAGAGAAAGAGACCAAAGTGAAATGAACTTCTTCTCTCCAGTATATACAAAGCCCTCCTGATTTACCTCTACTATCAACACCAACAGACCTCGAAAAGCCAAATTTATTTTTTAAATTTTCTGATTTTTTTTCTACTGATCATAGTCTCACTCAAGAAGATAATGTCCGGGCAAATGCTACTACTCCAATGGCGGAGCGCACGAATTGCACAAGGGTTACCCGCCCCCCGGCAATTCCAACACAGAATTTTCATTGCTCTTCAGGGGGTTGGACCGCTCCAACACCCCCTACTTGATTTACCCCGTCACCGGCAATTAATAATTTTGAGAGCTTCTGTTTTTTGTTGCCTTGCTGCTGAGCTAAACCTGTATCCAGACCAGAAAAGTCCCCCAAGATACGTTTCTTTGATCCCTTCCCATCAGCCTTGATTTCGTTGTGCATCCTGTTCTCTCCATCATGGGCTATCCCCCTCTTCCAGATCACAACTGGTTTGCAAACTCTAGTATCTTGAGCATCATGATCTGTTTCGGGGTTTTCTGATGTCCTGCGGGAGAGTTACAATTCCGAGACTGGAACCGGACGTCTGTACCTGCAAAATAACGGAGACTCCTGAGAGCTCCGCCTCCAACGGTCAAGTTAGTACCTGATTAAGGAGTAATCAATACAGAAAGTAAAGTAATGAGATCTCTCTAGGTGAGAGTGCTTAGTGTTGGTAATCTGCGTTGTTAGCGTGATTAGCCGGTTGTTAATAAGTCTGTTCTTCTCTGCTTGATCTCTTAATTATTCGGTTGTTTTTTTTGTTCCCCTGATTAATGAGGATTAATCGAGTATTTATAGCCTTGGGAAGCGTGCAACTCTCTAGGCTTAAGGTAAACCTAGGGCTGATCGGGCCTCTAGACTGAAATGGGCCTTGATGGCCGGTTGTCCCACTCGGCATGGGTGGACACGTGGCGTGTCTTAAGTGGTCCGTGGAGGACGTATCTGTGACTGACACGTGGCAAGCTCCTGTTGGCCTTCGTGAAGGACACGTGGCGGAACCTGGTTGGTCCACTTGTCAGACGGTGAATGGTGGATAAAAATCCCCTAATCATTTGCCCCTCACAGGTGGCACGCGACTGGTCACGTGTCGCCTGTGACAGGTGTCGCACGGTGACAGGCGACGGCCCGTTACAGGTGTCACCTTGCAGACGGCCGAGAGATTTTCCCGCCCAAATTTGAATTTGGAAGCGACCCTTCGCCTTCTCATTTTGCCTATAAAAGGAAGTGCTGACTTCGGTCATTTTCACATTTGAGAACTTTTGCGAGAACATTCGGACCCCTGAACTTGCTCTGACATTTTCGGACTTTTTCTGCCTACCGCCTGTTCTGACAAGCCGACTGACCCGAACTTCCAGGACTTCATCAACCGTCACCCGTTCAGGTAACTCAGTTCTCTTACTCTTAATTTTCTTTTTATTTTTTGAAATGGCACCATGGAAGCACACGACACGCCCTAAGTTAGTGATCAGCCGGTCACCGGGGACGGCTGAATCTAGGACTAGGAGTGCCGCCTGCCCTTTTCTGGACCCATCTTTGCCCTTTATACAAAGTCCGACTGAATCTGTGTCTATGCAGAACGTGATGGCCAGAACAAAAAAGACTGCTATGATATCAAACTCAGACGGCTCCTCCCAAAGGGTGCTCCTTAGCGAAACATCTGACCAGGCGCCAGATGTAGAACGAGGCGACTGTCAAGCTGACAGTGCTGAGAGAGGGACCAAGGTGTTCCCTTCTCATCTAACCGTGGACATGTCTAATTTTCCTTCTGCTCCTTCTAAGGGAGAGGAGGCGGGCCCCTCTAGGAGAGGGGAGGAGTCGTCCTCTTCGGACTCGTCAGGGGACGAGTCCGAATCCAGCTCTTCTGACCATAGTTCTTCTGGCTCAGAAGAAAAACATAGCCGCCTACAAGAGGCGAGAAGTTCTCATGCAGTGGAGAAGGGGGATAATTGGGCAGAGCCGTCCGCCTCTTACAGAGAGGAAAACGCCCCCTACTACTGCAGGGTGCCCCGGGGCCGGATTGCAACCATGCGAGACAACGTGGCGAGCTTTATTGCTAACCACAAAATGGGCCCGGAGTATTTACTGTTTGTGCCGGATCCAGAAGATACTGTCGTCTGGCCGGCTGGTACCAGCTATGGTGACGGCTGCTTTGGCTGCTATGTGGCGGCCATCAAAGCTGGACTGCGCTTCCCATTACATCCGGCTGTTCAGCGGATTTTAGATGGGTATGATCTGGGGTTATGGCAGTTAGCCCCCAACTCTTGGGTAAACGTACTCGGCTATGTGGCCGGGTGCGAACTGAACGGGGTGGAGCCAAGTTTTGAGGCTTTCGCCCACATGAACTATCTCAGCCGGACCCCCAAGTCGGGAGGTACCGGCTGGTATCAATTGACAAGCCATAGGGGTTACCTCATGACGAGAGGTAAGGCAAACAAATGGAAGGATTGGCGGAACACCTTCCTTATTATCGAGAGTTCAGACACGGAGCTGAACAAACGTTTTAATAAGTGGAACAGGGATCCACCTCTTCTCGCAGGCGGCCGCAGCATGCCGCCTGTTCCCCCAAAGGCTAAAAAAGAGATCCTAGACAAAGGACTCTTCAAAGTAGAGACTAGGGTGAACTCTACTTCAGGGGTACGAGAGCAAGTACCCCTAAATTGCGTCCCGAGCTTCAAGTGGCTCTATGACGAGTACTTCTTGGCCGCCTGTGGCCTCGGCAGTCGGTGCTCTAGAGGTAGCCGGCCTGACGAATACTCTGTTTTTTCACGCCTTGTTTACTTGGAATTTTTACTAACTTTGCTGTTTATTTCTTTCAGCCGACGCCATGAGTAAAATAACAGCATCTAAGACCGCGGCGGCCATGCTGCGGGTCTCACTAATGAAGCAGTCGTATGTCGACTCCCCCAGCAAGGAGGCACCC